TGGATGTTTGGTAAGAATATTAAAGCTGGAGAAAAAGCCTTTAGTTTTGCTGATGTTTCCTGATTAGGATTATTTGTGTACTCAACATCAGCCAGTAATTTAGAGATAAACTTATCTATCCATTAGGACTGAAACAATTAATTAGATTAATCTTGATTAACCGATTTATTTAAATAATCGTCAACTAATTCAGTAACTGGAATATAGAGTCTCTAAATACAGCAACCCATTTAAAGCAGTAATTACACGAAAATTGTAAAAAACAATAAAAATTTGAAAACATTTTGCATTTCAGATAAAAATCTGTTTTGTTTGTCAATATGCTCTATCCAGAACTCCTCAACTGGAACATTTTAGTTTCACCTGGTTTGGTTTTGCAAAAAGCCTTCTTTAAGAAACCTTTTGCTACCTGATTATTACCGGTAATAAAAAAAAAAAAAAATTGACAGATTAATCGATTTGCAAACCGTTAGTTGCAGCCCTAATATCAATATTTAAGCCCTCTAGAAATAATTTTTCATCGCTTTTGCATTACATTGGTTATGTGATTACAGTTTTTCTTCATAGACCTTAAGAAAAAAAATGCTGCATTAAATCAAACATTGGTAGCTTCACATTTCTTTCTGAGAAAACAATGTCTTCCTGCAGCACAGTAAGTGCTAATCTGAATTAGCATGTTTGCCCTCTATTTTGACATGACTCTTTTATATTGGTTTGTTCCATATTGTTCTTTTATTAATTTTCTTTTGACATAAACTGTGATAATTTTTCCTTGTCTGGTTTTCTTAGCAAATTGATTTGTTTGCTATAAGATTTGTGCACTAGCATTTCAGCTGCTTTTCTCTTCTTACCAACCACTGTCTGAGCTCAGTGTAAAACGGCTTACAGAGTGACTGTGAGCTGCAGCAGCCGATAAAGTTTATCGCTCACTTTGAAACGACCCAAGATTGGTTGAAATCCAGAGTCAGATATACAAAGTACTATGCACAAATTTTAATCAAGTTTTTCAAGGCGAGGACGGAAAAAAAATTACTTTTAGACATTAGCAACACAAAGCATGAAAAAATCTTTCTGGAGGAATACTAGTAAAAGCACTGGTAAGGGTCATGTAATGAAACGTGGACTTCTTCTATGTTGAAAGTATCTTACTAAAATTAAAGTAATGAATCAAAATGAACAGAATCTATAAACCATATCTGTCAAATTTGGTCAGGCTATTTTATAAGTTGTGTAATTTGCATGATTAGTTTGTTTATAGTTTTTTGCAACTGATTGTCTCCCTAAACAATCTCTATTTATTTAATCCAATTAATTGTTGATTACTTGTGCGCTTTGGCTGTAGCTTCAAAGTAGCCAAATGGCTGAATCTATTACAAAGGCGATAAATAAACGAAGGATAAAAAGGTTGATTAAAAAAAAAAATCTTGAGACTGGCTGTAGACTGGAGTCATTCGTTGTCTTAATGAATTGTAACCACCCAGTTGCTTTGTGGCATCAGAGCAATAAACTTGAGGCTCGGATAACCGTCCCAGACGCTAGAAAACATTTGGAGACATTATGTGACCATAAATACTTCAGGCTCAACAAGGCGGGATTGTAGGGAGGGAGAAAGACGGTTAAACATGTTTTAGGAATGATCCTAATTTACTGAGCTGATGTTAAGATATGATTAAAAACTTTATATTTTTTAAAGGTTTCTTATGTTTTTAAATGGTTGAGGTTGCTGTATAATGCCTTCTTAGTTGAGGAATTGTGGTTGTTATTTTAACTCGGATGTAGATACTTTGCAACCTCATACCAGGTGCTGACCTAAAACCTTACGTGATTGGCTTATATTATGTATAGGTCTGCAACTAATGATTATTTGGCAAATCGATAAATCTGTCAATAATTTTTTTGATGACTCAATAATTGGATAACCAAAGGTTCCTTAAAGATGATTTTTTTACGAAGTTAAACCAGGCGAAGCTAAACCATTTCCCCCCCGAGTTCTGGTTAGAGCATTTTGACAGATAACGTTTTAATTTTTTTTTTTTATCATAAAAGGAAAATGTATATATGTTTTTTTTTTTTTTTTTTTTTTACAATTTAGAAATTACTGCTACTATAATGTGGGTTTCTCTTTTAGCTAAAGTAGTTTTTTTTAGAGTCTTTATACTCCGATTAACGATTAATCAATTACTAAATTAGTTGACGATTATCACGGCTTTCTAAAAGGATTGCTCATTGAATTTGAAGCAACATTTGTTAAGATTTCAAACTTTACAAGATCTTAAACAAGTTTTTTTCCTATTAAATCACAATGGGGAAATATTTCATGCATACACGTACATTATTTAAACCAAAATCCCAGTTCTGACACTGTTATAATCTCTGGTTTTATTTTCCATTTAAGAGCATTATAAAGTAAGGAATCGGATGTCGTGATCCAATGGATTTATCAGAAATCTGTCCAGTATCTGCCGTCTTAAATCTGATAGCATTTCTACCCAGCAGCATCTATATCTCTGACACTGAGCTAATGTGATCACAACAGTGTCTCCTAACAGAGCATCAGACACATGGCTAAAGAGTTCTTTTAAACAATTTTTTACACTAATTTACTGTTTTTATCAATTTCTAGAACGTTTTTTAATATTTATTTTTAAGATTTAGGGTTATGTTACCCATTAGTTAATAATAAATGGGTCAGTTTTTCTTACCGTAAACCCGTTTTTGTTGACTTGATTAAGTCTTGTCTAACTTTTCACAATCGAAAATGTCATATTAGGTAAATGTTGGTATTGATTAATAATTAAAGCTTTATTATAAATATAATTGTATGGGTATCCTAGTTTTACTACGCAAAAACATTTGACGGCAAATGAGTCAGAAAGGCCTTTTCCCCTCACACAACAAACTGATCACCGTCCCGAACTACTGCAGACTGATGCAGATGTTTTCAAACATAATTGAACCAAATCTGCCATTTTTGTTTGCTAAAAGCTTCTTGGCCTCTTTGTAGTTCTAGTGCCTTGATGCCAGATTTTTGACATGCAAGAATTTAGTTAGCCAAGATTATCATGTATGAAGATAAATATGCAGTATTTTTGATAGTTTAGAGCAGGGGTTCCCAAACATTTAAACCGCTAAAATAACAGTAAAACAGACTGGCGAGTGGCGACCCCTAAAAAAAAAGCTATAAAAGCTATAAAAAAAAAAAAAAAAGCTATAGTTGTCTTATAAGTATTTTGATTTGCCATGAAACATATGCACATTTAAAGACATTGGTTTAATTCATAATTTTTTATGTAATTTAGATTATGTAATTGCATATTTAAATATTATTTGTGCATTTTATAATTGAATTGCATATTTATCATTTGAATATAATGTATTAGATAAGGAATCCAGTTCTCTAAAGCTATCAAGCTGCAGCTTTTAGATGCATTCCCTCTTCAACACACTTGAATCTAATGAGTGGCTCATTATCAGGCCTCTGCAATTCAGCGGTTAGATTCAGGTATGTTGGAGAAGAGATTCATCAAAGGCTACATTCACACTGCAGCCTGAAGTGACCCAAATCTTTTCTTTTTCTTTTTTTTTTTTATACATATGCAACCTATATCTGAACAACACAGATCCAAATCTTTGCGACTCTGGCAACTTGACTGTGTGGTCCTAAATCTGATAATTATATGATCTTTTCAAATGTGACCTGTATCTGAATGGCCAGGTCGCATTCATCCCACCTGACCGTCAATGATACTCAACAAAGCTACCTATTCTGGGTCTTGCAACAAGAAGCAGGGAGAAAACCAACAGCCATTGTAGACAATAATGCCGAAAGCAGTATTTCTTTTTGATCTTCTCCAAGATTGCGTTTTTTTATCCGAGGGCCTCGGTTGGAAGAGAAATAACAGATCGCAAGATGCTCCCTTACTACCATCCGTGTATTTCATCATGCATCCATTTACCTCATGGATCACATGATGATTATGAAAACCGTCCCATTCACCCTTCGCTTTGGGATCCCCTACTTTAGATCCAATATAAATCAGAACAGTAAATAAAACTTCCCATATGTCTCTTTGCTAACATGATTGACAGCTGGAGTGCACATGAATCTGACTGCTTTGTGTCATGGATACAGCTGTGATTCAAGGAAAAAGACTCCCTCTGACTTAACAGCTGGTAGGCAGAGAGCTAACGGCCTCTCTTTTTGTAAAGTTAAACTAGAATAATGAAAGAGGGGGGCATGAGCCTGCATAACGTTTGTTGTCATAATCCATACAGTTTCAGTTGGCTGTGAAATGCACTGGCTAAGATGATTTTTAACGGTTGTTGACGTATATATGTGTCCGACAGCGATGCAGTATCACTCCAATGATGGGAATACCAATGTGCCGGGCTCCCAAAAATGTCCCATGTTTTATCTGCTCACAGAGTTTAGTTAAGGAGGGGGGGGTGTAAAAAGCTCTCTATTTCTGTCCTTTGTTTATGTAAGGGGTGGCAGCGGGCTGCTGGGAGAGCGTAGTGGTCTGGGAATGTTGGATTCATTCTCTCATATCTAGTTCACCATTTTGGTTTTGGGGACTTAATTCCATCAAGATAACATTAAAATGGGTCATGCATAGTTCTCAAAGCTCAAGAAAATCTAATTTATTTGTTTTGTATTTAAATTTTTTTCAAGGTTTTATAGAATAAAATCAATAATTATATAAAATTAAATGAAAATGCTTATATTGATTGTGTAGAACAATGGCTGCAACAATAACAATAAATGTTTATTTTCTGCTCAGTATCAAGCGGTAAATAAAACATCAAAACCATAATAGATGGAAATCTAAAAGGCCGTACAGGTGCACTGTTGTTTCCATTTACTTTAAAATGCAGAAAATGAACATTATTTCAAAAAGAAGCTAGAAAAGCTAAGAAATAGTGTAAACTTATTTAGTTTATTCTACATGCTACCAAACAGAAACCCATCATACTGACTTTTGGTGTATTTTTTTTTACAGGGACGTCATGTCAAGACTGGACAGCTGGCTGCCATCAAAGTCATGGACGTCACAGAGGTAAGGCTTATATAATACCACTATTATAAACCAAGCTCATCCTTCCACATAAATGTTTTAAGTCAACATAAAGGGGACATATTCACATTTTAACACATTTAAGATCTTTATAAACATTTGATTTTCCTTGTCTGAGTTCATCGATACAGGATATTTACAGGTTTTTATAGTTTCTCCTCAGATATCTTTTTCTAATCATCCATAGTTCACTCTTTTAGCTGTTTTGTTGATAAAAGCAAAAAATACATGATATAATAGCAATTCCTTGTACCCATGTTTGCATTTCTTTACCTCAAATTACTTTTCTAACATATGATGAAGGTTAAATCAGTTTTTTTAGATGGAGCAGAACAGTTTTAAGTCAGTTTTTATTCCTTATCATATATTGTCACAATCATTCCTAAGCTGGCTCCGTGTGCCCTGACTTGCCAGTTGCCACGCCTTGCTTCAGTCTGCAGAGCGCTGAATCACAAATCTGCTTGACTCATGAAAGTATCTTGTGAACGGAAATGTTACCAAGCCGCTACCTCGGCTCTGACAGAACTGGGAGTTCCCTTAACGGTGTGTTGTAACCTAAGGTGAACAATTCTTCTTTTGAATGAAGTTTATGTCTCTCACAAAGGCAGGTGGCCAGTGATGGCGTAGCTGAAAGATGAATATTTAGCGCTGTAACTCTAACACCTGCTAGTACCAGTTCTGTGAGCTCAGAACAAGTGTGAACTGGTAAATGTTCCCAGGCAGATGGTGATCATAAAAATGGCAGCCATCAATTATATTTTTCGTCAACGCATATTTTGAGTAGTCTTGTTTTGACACGATCAATCTACAAGTTTGCCTTTCTTGTGGTTTGTTTGAGCTGTAGAAGTCAGCTGGGTCTGTCCTGGGTCAGATTGACACACATTATAAATCCAGTCCCCCCTTGACCTTATAGCTTTTAGCTGTCCTTATAGGTTAAATAATTCATTAAAACCTTGTCAGACCCTCGTTAAGCATGTTTTTATTGATATTTCTTTTTGATTGATTTTCATATTATATTGAAGTTGAGAATGACACCAGGCTTTGATTTTATTCACACAACTTGGATTAAAACAAGTCTGCCTTTCAATTAATCATTTATTTCAACAAAAGCAACACTTATTCCTTCTTTCCTTGATATAATATACAGATCCAATCAAATATTCTCAAAAGGTTGATTTTCAGTTACATTTAAAAAGTGTATGTTTGCTAAAAGTGCTCAGTAAAGTTGAACACTATATACGAGCAATAAAAAAATAATAAACATGGGATCCCAGCACTTGGTCGGACCTGATTTTAGCATGAGTTTAGAGCTGCCAGTCATTAAATTTTTTTAAATTGATTAAGCTGTTGACTCTTTCTATAATTAATTTAGAAAGGTACACATAGATGTTTCTACAGAGTTGGAACCAGATGAAGCTAAACTAAGCCATACATTCAACTAATATCTTGTTAACGGGAGTCTGTACACTCCATTGTTAGATTAGTTTACAATTTCCAATAGTCACGCTTGTTTTAGCCTTATCTGAGTGAATGCCTCAAAAGTTTCCTTAAGTTTCTTCCTCTAGAAACGCTCCACAGACTATTTTTTTTTGTCTGTTCAGATTTGAGTCTTCACAGCACAACAATTTCATACTCTATATCGATAATCAGGAAAATATTCAATACCACAGGAACAAAATTACCAAATAACTAAAGGCTGTAAAAACACATTTATTAACATGAAAAACTCACCATTTTTGATCTCAACATCAAACGTGCTGTAAAAGATGTAACCCAACTATAATCCTATTTGACAAATTTTCAAGGTTACATTTATTTCCAAATAATCTAAAATATTTGCAAAAAAATATGCAAACAACACTTTATGGATAACATACATCTTTTAAGTGTTGATTCTTTGTAGAGTATGGGTTCTTTTAACAACCCTAGTTTAGTTTGTGGGTTTTTTAAAACTTAGATGCTTTTGACTTTTTGCAAGTGTTGACGTAAGACTAAATAAGGATCTGCATGAAGCTTGCGTTTTATACTTCTTCTCTTTGCCTCTAAATCCTTGTGATCTTTAAAACAAATCACCTGTTAAAGGGATTGAAGAGATTTAAGTTTAAATTGATATTCTCATTCCTTAGGATCCACCAGCATAATATATTTAGTATATCAATAGTGATGTATCCTCATGCTTATTTATGTTTGTCTGAGAAAGTCCTAGAAAGATTTACAGACTTCTTCAAGAAGGAGATTAATCATTTAAGTCAGTATAAAAGATTTTGTTCTGCTCTGTTATTCTAGATAAGTTTCTGAGCTGTTACCAGATAAGTGCTATCCTCTGAGTGTGTTTGTTCCTCCCTAATATCCCCTGTGCCGTCATTTGACCACAGCCTCTATGCTCTTATCTTTCTCCCTGGCACACACACACTGCTGTACAAGTCCCCCCCCCTTCAAAGCCATGTGACTTGTGGCAGCGGGGCTTCCATAGCCACAGTGCGATAATTCAACAGCTGCGCGGCAGCAGAAGAGGGAGGGGGTACCGAGATGGGGAGGGTCTGGGCTGTGTGCTCAGCTCACACAACAGAAAAGCTTACGTCAACTCAAAAGAGTCATGCAGCTGCAGTATGGCTGCCTGTATAGATGCTCGTCTGCCGTTGACAAAGATTTGCTAAAAGAAATGGAGCATTTGCAGCTTCTTTTTGGTTTGATTCTGTTCAGATTAGTGTTTCAAACACGTTTCACTTTATCGTTGCTTTCTGCACCCCCATCCTCCTTTTTGTATTTTAAGAGAGGTCATGCACGCATAAAGTAAAGAGCTTCTGCATGCATTCAATTAGTGTGTCACTGTTAATCAGTTTCAAGTTGCTGTTGCTAGCAAGCAGCGAGTTTGCACTACAGCTACTTGTGACCTTTTTTGTGAAGTTTATGGTGAACGTTGCTCATAGGAAAGGTTATTTCCCGCAGAGATTAAAAGGAGCATTAGTGCTCAAAAAGAACTACCTTCCCTGCTGCATTCTTTGCATGATGCATCATTCTTCTTCTGTTCCATTTCCTGCCCATTGATCTCTCCCCCTTCTAGTAATCCTCTGTCCTTTTTTTTCTATCAGTAAATTTGAGCATCGTTTTAGATCCGAGGAGCTCTGATTAGTATAAATCGGCTAAAAACCATCATGCATCTTTCACAAATCTCGACACCAATCTGTTTAACTTGCAACATGAGTCACTCATGCGTCATTAATCTCTAAACAAAGGAATCATTTGCCCGATGACAAATGTCTGCCCTGTTTCAGAGCAACGACATCCTAGACATATAAAACAAATCCAGGACAGGAGGCTGTAAAGTTTCACCTTGCTGGTTCAACATGGTTTTGAAATTTGCGACGATAAGGAATATATAGAATTTGATTTGAGGATTTTTGGGGATTTTGATTATTGGCCTATCCACTAAGAGTTGTCATTCATCTGTTTCTTTCTCATCCATTTTCTTTCTTTATAAAAGGTTCTTCCTTGCCATCCTTCTCTCATATAAGACTCTTTCTTTGCCATTAGCCCTTCTTCCATTGGTCCATATCCCAGTCAATCCCTCCTTTCTTCCTTTTTATATCATTATTTCCTCCAATCCTTTGCATTAACTCGTTTTTCATCCTTTCCTCTCTTTGCTTCAGTTTTCCTTTAGCTATTGCTCCTTAACATTCATCCCTGCCTTTCCTGCCTCATTTATTTATTTTTTTGTCATCATTGCTATCATTGCCATTGTGTTTCCTAGGTGTCATATTTAAAGCTCCAACCGCCACAAACGGCTAACAACACTACTTTATGTTTTTAAATGAGCATTATTGAACAGTGTTGTGAAAGGTTGAGTCTGGGGAGTTTATAATATTTGTATAGGAACCCTGGTAAAGTTTTCACGATGACTAGAGAGTGAACACTTTACTTCCTGTTGTGGAGCGATAATAAACCCACTCTTTATCTTTGCTTTATTTTGTCTGTATAGGATGAAGAGGAGGAAATTAAATTGGAGATCAATATGCTTAAGAAGTATTCCCACCACAGAAACATAGCCACCTACTACGGTGCTTTTATTAAAAAGAGTCCCCCAGGACATGACGACCAGCTATGGGTAAGTCCTTAAATCTCCTAAAATCTATTACTTTGTCCTCTCTCCCGTATTATGCTCCTGTTGTCCTTCTCGATTATAAAGTCTGTCGTCATGTGTCCGAGATTTGCCCTCTGATAGTTTGTGTTTTTTTGCAGCTGGTGATGGAGTTCTGTGGTGCTGGTTCAATCACAGACCTGGTGAAAAACACAAAGGGAAATCAGTTAAAGGAAGATTGGATCGCCTACATTTCCAGGGAGATTCTCAGAGTAAGGCTCCTTTTAACGTCTTGTTGGGGAATCTGGTTTCTCCCGTTTCTTACAAACAAAAGATCTTGGATTTAATTTGGTTACAATAGATCAGTAACGCTTTGAGTCTCTTTATCTCTTTACTTGTTACTGAACAGATTGAAAAAGTTGGCTCTGTCCTCCCTCCCTTTGTAAAAATACAGAAATTACTAAGATACATTTTTGTTTGATATAGAGTGGAGGATTTTTGCAAATTTTTTTAAGAACCCGCCCTCTCCACTTTAAATTTTTTTTTATGTTTAGTGTTTATGCATTTAGCAGATGCTTTTATCCAAAGGAACTTACAAAGTAGGCATTAAGGCCAATTTATGCTTCTGATGGATAGCCTCTGCAACCGTCAAATCTGTCTCTGTGCACGACAACGCCCCCCGCACAGAGATTCTGCAACCGTTGTCACGCACCTAAAAAAAATCCTGACTACGCATCGGACAGTCGCAAACCTGTGTAGACCTCAAGCGGAAGTGCCCAGACAAAAAGCAGCTGTGATTGGTCCTTGGTATGCTTTTCTGGCTGTCTGTGTGGTCGTCCTTCTCGATTCAGTGCTGGAGCGCGCCATTTTTAAAATCAGAGGAACAACTACAATGGGCAACTACGACGAAAGCTTAATCAAGGAGGTTCGGAAGTACAACCACTTGTACAATGCCTCACACAAATTATATAAAGATGCCAAGGCCTCTGCCAAAATGAAGTTCTCGTGACCATCCGCCAAAGTCGACGCTAGTTCTCGAATAGGCTCCTCCTTGCTTTTTGGCTGGAAACTGCTGTGTGTCACTAGAAATTCCAGACCGACGGTGCAGAAGCATACCAGCAAAACTGGTTCACACAACTTGGCCTAAGGACTCACACTGGCAGCTCATTCCCCCAAGTGGGGATTGGAAACCAGGGCCTCATGTGTGCAAGTCGGCACAAGCCGACACAAGCACAACCTTGTACCCGAAATGGAACGGCTATTAAACGCATGCGCTGTTTAAGAGTTTCTTTTTGCATTGTTCATACAAGTTTACTTTCCAAAAGTAGATTTGCAATTTTTCCACAAGAGAAAATGGGGACGAGCATGTAGGACGGCCTTATGTAAACATAACACCGGAATGATTGACAACTAAGAGGACCATTTATTTTGATGATCCACCCGGAAAAAGAACATCCTCCACTATAGCTTTAAAGTCGTAGGGAATAAATATTTAAGTTTCAACTCATCCTGGCTTAAACATCTATATAAATGTACTCTTTATTAGACGATACTGTCCCAAAATGTAGGAAATTAATATATATATTTTCTTAATAATGCTTAACGGTTCTTAAGATAATGTTTTTTTCCGTTATCTTATGCAGGCCAGTTAGTTATATCAGCTTGAACACCTAAATTCGGCCAATAATATATCAATGGTCATCTGTCAATCAACTTTTTTCCTTCATAGCATCTTGATTCATATGTTGCAGCTAATATACACAATGGCTGAAATAATAAAAATGTACTTTACCATTGAGGAGTTCCATCTCAGTGTTCACGGGGACGGACATCTGTGTCTTCGGCAAGCGTAGAGATAACAGAACTGGCAGCGTTGCGAGGCAAGGGCTCAAACATGTACTGCTGTAAGCCTTCTACACCAAACCAAGCTTCTGCTGCCCTGACGTCCTTTTCCACAACATCTTTGTCCACGCTTTCCTCCTCTAAATAAAAATGTATGACGGAGACTCATCCATGACCTCCGAAAAGCCTTTGTCTCTGTTTCCGCTGTCCATAGCGTTCCTTGACAGTGTCGTTTCCAAGTCACCAATTTAGTGCTACTTGGTCCCAATGTAATTTCACATTGGGAACCTACTAGCACTAAGCTGCTAACCGGTTAGCAAGATGCTACCGACAAACCGGCCACAATCAATCTTGCGAACCTTCTGCCACAACAATCACGCCCCCATTATAAACGACCAATCACATTCATTTTATTCACTCCTGTAAAGTTGTGCACCACTCGCAAGAATTTGGAAATGCAACGGTTGGAACGGCCGTTTCCCTGCGACTTTATGTACTGATGTGCCATTATCAGCTTTTTTCAAAAGCCTTTTAGAATATACAGGTGCTGGTCATAAAATTAGAATATCATGAAAAAGTAGATTGATTTCAGTAATTCCATTTAAAAAGTGAAACTTGTATATTATATTCATACATTACATACAAACTCATATATTTCAGATGTTTATTTTGTTTAATTTTGATGATTACAAATGACAACAAATGAAAATCTCAAATTCATCATATCAGAAAATTAGAATATTACTGAAGACCAATAAAAACAAAGGATTTATAGAAATGTTGGCCAACTGAAAAGTATGAACATGAAAAGTATGAGCATGTACAGCACTCAGTATTTAGTTGCGCCTCCTTTGGCCTGTATTACTGCAGCAATGCGGCGTGGCATGGAGTCGATCAGTCTGTGGCACTGCTCAGGTGTTATGATAGCCCAGGTTGCTCTAATAGTGGCTTTTAGCTCTTCTGAATTGTTGGGTCTGGTGTATTGCATCTTCTTCTTCACAATACCCCATAGATTTTCTATGGGGTTAAGGTCAGGAGAGTTTGCTGGCCAATTAAGAACAGGGATACCATGGTCCTTCAACCAGGTACTGGTAGCTTTGGCACTGTGTGCAGGTGCCAAGTCCTGTTGGAAAATGAAATCTGCATCTCCAAAAAGTTGGTCAGCTGCAGGAAGCATGAAGTGCTCTAAAACTTCCTGGTATGTGGCTGCGTTGACCCTGGACCTCAGAAAACACAATGGACCAACACCAGCAGATGACATGGCACCCCAAACCATCACTGACTGTGGAAACTTTACACTGGACTTCAAGCAACGTGGATGAAGTGCCTCTCTTCTTTTCCTTCAGACTCTGGGACCTTGATTTCCAAAGGAAATGCAAAATTTACTTTCATCAGAGAACATGACTTTGGACCACTCACCAGCAGTCCAGTCCTGTTTCTCTTTAGCCCAGGCAAGACGCTTCTGACGCTGTCTGTGGTTCAAGAGTGGCTTGACACAAGGAATGCGACAGCAGAAACCCATGTCTTTCATACGTCTGTGTGTGGTGGTTCTTGAAGCACTCACTCCAGCTGCAGTCCACTCTTTGTGAATCTCCCCCACATTTTTGAATGGGTTTTGTTTCACAATCCTCTCCAGGGTGCGGTTATCTCTCTTGCTTGTACACTTTTTTCGACCACATCTTTTCCTTCCCTTCGCCTCTCTATTAATGTGCTTGGACACTGAGCTCTGTGAACAGCCAGCCTCTTTAGCGATGACCTTTTGTGTCTTGCCCTCCTTGTGCAAGGTGTCGATGGTCGTCTTTTGGACAACTGTCAAGTCAGCAGTCTTCCCCATGATTGTGTAGCCTATAGAACTAGACTGAAAGACCATTTAAAGGCTTTTGCAGGTGGTTTGAGTTAATTAGCTGATTAGAGTGTGGCACCAGGTGCCATCAATTTTGAACCTTTTCACAATATTCTAATTATCTGATATGATGAATTTGAGATTTTCATTTGTTGTCATTTGTAATCATCAAAATTAAACAAAATAAACATCTGAAATATATGAGTTTGTATGTAATGTATGAATATAATATACAAGTTTCACTTTTTAAATGGAATTACTGAAATCAATCTACTTTTTCATGATATTCTAATTTTATGACCAGCACCTGTATAGCTGCTTTCGTAAATCTTCATAAAAAAATAAAAATGAATTTCTTTTTTGGAATTTGTTGTAAAGTAGTTTGAAACAGAAAGAGACACATACCGGCAAATAGAAATTTCATCTTCCTTACACAGATACCCCTGAAAGCTACTTCAGAAGTCAGATTAATTCATTAGTTTATTTTAATCTCTGCATGAATAAATTTGTAAAAAAAATAAAAAATTTAAAATAAAAAAAAATGAGAGAGAAAAAAACGGCGCAATAAATCACTTTTTAAGGACAAGGATGTTTGTATTGATATTAAGTTGATATTCCTTGGGGTTCTTTAAGCAGCTAGAACCTTGTTTCTTTTTAAATTGATGCCCAACTTTCCTTTTAAACCATATTAAAAAATACTAAAATTTGATTTTAGAGCGGTCTTAATGTGACGAGTTTCAAGTCGACTGGATTTCATTGGATGTGCATTTTGTAAAATATGCCACATTTAAAATGAAACTTCTCTGCAGGTGGAGAATCCCCCTCCTGATTTGTAATCTGAAAGTAAAGTGGGGATTGTCAATTTACAGCAGATGTTCCCATATGTTTCTATTTTAAATTAATCTTTTAAAACCATAATTTGGACAGTAGGAACAAAGAAAAATTCTACTTCGGTAAAATGTATTTCAATAAAATAAACTACAATTTCCTGTTATTTACACAAATACCACCTTTAAATGGTTTATTATTTTAAGTGTCTTATTTGCTGTGTAATAGAATAAAAATTTTCATCAATTCATTTTTCAGTCCCTCTTAAAATTGGTAATTTATTCAATTAATTTTATCCCACATCCCGCCACTATTACACTAAGCGCCCTATAGGGGGCAGTACATATTCAGAGGTTTTCTCAAAGTATCAGCTTTTAAAGCACCAATAGATCAGAGACTGGGTTTAACTTGTTACTAAATGAGCTAGACATATTTTGTTATAAAAAAAAAAAATAAAAAATGGAAGATTATGTTGTTTATCCAATCTCCACAGGGTCTGGCCCACTTACACGCCCACCACGTGATCCACCGTGACATCAAAGGCCAGAACGTCCTGCTGACTGAGAACGCTGAAGTCAAGCTCGGTGAGGATCATCATTCAGATAATTTTGTTGATCTTTTCTGGAGCTAATGGCTCTCGCACCGATTCCTCCCTCCAGTGGACTTTGGTGTGAGCGCTCAGCTGGATCGGACGGTAGGGAGGAGAAACACGTTCATCGGCACTCCATATTGGATGGCCCCAGAGGTCATCGCTTGCGATGAGAACCCAGACGCCACATATGATTACAGGGTAAGGGTCGACTACTCAAGACCAGATAATCACCTTGATCTATCTCTGTTCCTGTGCTGGTTTGCTCAGTGGGAATGTTTGCTGTGTTGCAGAGCGATCTGTGGTCATGTGGCATCACGGCGATTGAGATGGCTGAAGGGGCGCCCCGTGAGTTCTTTTTTTGTAGCTTGTTCTATTCTCTTCCTTTCTTGGATCGCTGATGAATTTCTAACTCCCCTTGCAGCGCTTTGTGACATGCACCCCATGCGAGCTCTCTTCCTCATTCCAAGAAACCCTCCACCCAGGCTCAAATCCAAAAAATGGTGAGTAGTCGATAGAGCTGATGTTTTCGTTTTGTCTTTGTGGATATTTCTCTAGCCCCTCCAATTCGCTTTTATGTTGAAATCTTAAATTGGCTCGTTTTATCTCATGGTAAAGCTTTCTGTGCTTTCTCTTCTTATGCGCACCCTTGTGCAATGAGATTTTTATCTCAGAGCAGAGCTCAGGCGGCTACAGAGGCTTAGATCCAAACACTTGGACTTTCCATTGTGCGCTGGTGCTGAGCTGAACATCTGTGCTGCACCTGTCCTGGCAGCCTCTATTGGCGAACACACAGAAATAACAGATATTTTTTCCCAGCTCTAGAGCTGAGATTTTATTTTTTTTACCTACTAGAAATGGATTGATTCACTACTGTCATCTCAGTTTAGAGTAATTTAAGGCAGCTTTAAGTGTTGATGACACAATATTGAAATTTTCTAGTATTTTTCATAGACCAAAATTTTAATACTGATGATCAATGTAATGATTTCAAAGGCACCAGCATAAAATAGTTAAATGAAAAACAACCTCGGCCATTCAGGAGACCCTAGCACCCCCGCCAGTCGCTAAGGGAGAAAACGGAAGTGATGTGTATGGTAGAATGGCTGACAGCTGACGTTTTCATGGCTTAAGATGCTGACACACCTTCGCGTTGTGTTGCTGCTTTTTCTTCATCCCCCGTAAGGATTGTGTCGGCTTATTTAGGTTTCTAAGGATCCGTAGCCACTTTCAGTGAAGCAGGTCAGACTAGATCGGGAAGTTACTAGCTATAACTTTAAGAATATTAGATAATTTCTTGTTACAGCGGGGGAGGATTTATTTGAAAATCATGTTCATCTTCTAATTTAATATTTTAGAAACTGATATCTGGTTATACTATCTGAACCAGAGGCGTAGCAATCCGTCTTTCCCTGCTATGTGTTTTCTACCAGCAATGCTTCAGTCATATTAGCATCACCCTCCGGCTCAGAGTCTTACTCTGTAGGCTCTGGATGGTTCCGATCTGTGGGGTGTGACACTTTCTTGGTTTAACCACACAGACTAGCTCCAAAAGGGTTTTCCTTCTGATGTCATTACATGGAAATGTTTTTTTTACGACCTATAAATCAAGAGTGCTAATACTAAATGTAGGATATTAGTTACAAATAAGCCTGTTTGTGTCATGCTAACTTAGAACCACTTGGTATGTCCTGCTGCATTATTTTAATGCAAAATTACATGAAATCAATACTTGAAAATGACAGCAGGTGTAGGAGTGGTAGTGTACTTTATGGTATAGATATGATATAGATTAAAGCTTTATAATCTTTCCATTTTCCATTAATGTATATAAAAGTGATCAATTTAGTCAGATACTTATTCATTTAGCTTTGTCTCTCTTTCATATGATGCATCTGCGACTGTCCCTCAGGTCCAAAAAGTTTTTTAGCTTCATAGAGAGCTGTTTGGTGAAGAACTACACGCAGCGTCCTCCAACCGACCAGCTGCTGAAGCATCCCTTCATTCGTGACCAGCCCAATGAGAGGCAAGTTAGGATACAGCTCAAAGACCACATCGACCGGACCAAGAAGAAGAGGGGGGAAAAAGGTTAGTACGATAGTCGTCTGGAAAATTGCGGAATAACGTTTCATTAATTTTTCAGGTTTTGATAAGTATGAGAAGAATATAAAATTATTTACTGCACTTTGTGTAAATCCCTTTCATGGTCCCTCCTCTTTCTCCCTTTCTATATTTTCTACCCCTTTAGCTGTGTTCTCTTTCCTTTTTTTTTCCTACCCTTATCCATCCCTCTTTCTCATCTTTTGCTGTTCCTCCTCTCTGCCCTTGTTTTCACCCTTTGTCTTTCATACTTTATGGTTTCTGTCTGTCTCCCTTTTTAATGTCCTACTTGTCCTCTTTCTTCCTTTCCTTCGTCCTTTGTGTCACCCTTCTGTGTCCATCACCGTGATCTTCCTTTCTATTTACTTTTATTACTTTGTTGTGCCCTTTTGTCCTTTCTCATTTTCATGTCCTTTTATCATGATTGTTTTTCCCTTTCTTCTGTCCCGCTCCAATTATTTCTTTATTTTCCTTTTTCATTCCTGATACCCCTCCATAAATTTATTTTTTTCTTTCTTTGTCTTTGTTTCTTTGGTTTTCTTTCTTTACTTCGTGTCTTTACCCATTTCCTTCCTAGCCTCCTTCCTAGTTTTTCCTCAGTTCCCTCCTTCCTTCATTGACCATCCTTAGTTCTTTCGTTAATCCCTTTTTCCCTAACTAGTCCTTACCGATTTCCTTCCTTTGTTCCTTCCTTGTCTTTCTTTCTTCCTCTTACTAACTTACCTACTTACTTGATTTTGAAATTATTATTTTTTTACACCTTTTATTTCACCAGAAGACAAATCGGACATGTTCATTACTTTGGACAGAAAATGTAGCTCTATGATATTTGAACCTGTAGGATGATGTATACATTTTATGCTTAGATGAAACGGAGTACGAGTACAGCGGCAGTGAAGATGAGGAAGAGGATCCTCCTGAGCAGGAAGGAGAGCCCAGGTATTGTCTAGGACTAACATGACCTCCTGTTATCATCCACTTCTTAAAAAACCCTAACGGTGTCTCTCATTTCATGACGTTCAGCTCGATCGTCAACGTGCCAGGAGAGTCGACTCTGCGCCGCGACTTCATCCGCCTTCAGCAGGAGAACAAGGAGCGTTCAGAGGCGCTCCGTCACCAGCAGCTCCTTCAGGAGCAGCAGCTCCGCGAGCAGGAGGAGTACAAGCGTCAACTGCTGGCTGAAAGACAGAAACGCATCGAACAACAGAAGGAACAGAGGAGGAGGCTGGAAGAGGTTGGAAATTTTAACTTGGATTTTCATAGGTTGTCAGATTGGTGAAAATCAGGCTGTTTTGTTGCAGACATTAAAACTGTGTTTTAATCAACAGCAACAGAGGCGCGAACGGGAGATGAGGAGGCAACAAGAGCGCGAGCAGCGGCGGAGGGAGCAAGAGGAGAAGAGGCGTATGGAGGAGATGGAACGCAGACGCAAAGAGGAGGAGGAACGGCGGCGAGCCGAGGAGGAGAAGAGACGGAATGACCGTGAGCAGGTTTGTTTTTTGGTCTCGGCTTTTTTTGAGGTGATCTATAAAACCAGGGCGTATTATTCTCATTATTCAATTCTTGGTCTTGGATCTGCTGACAGGAGTACATCAGGCGTCAGCTGGAGGAGGAGCAGCGACATCTGGAGAAGCTGCAGGAGCAGCTGCTTCGAGAACAGGCCATGCTGCTGGTCAGTTTCACACACAAAGCAAGTGAAGCCAACATTGCAAAGGACTAATATTAATCGTGACTAGATCAAAATATAGCAGCATTAACGTTCTGGGTTCCTTGGAAGCATTTTAAACTCAAAATTAATATTTTCTCAATTTTTTATGTATTTAATAATGAATCAGTTATTGAATAAAGGCTGAATCAAACAGATGGTTCAATCTTGCGCTCTGCAACAGGAGTTCAAGTGGCGCGAGCTGGAGGAGCAGCGCAAGGCAGAGCGCCTCCACAAGCGGCTGCAGCAGGAGCAGACTTACCTGTTGTCATTGCAGCACCAATCTAAACAGCAGCCTGCCGACGTGTCCGAAACCCCCCTAGACTGTAAAAACCCTCCACAGACCTCGCTGCCCCCTGATGGAGTCCACACCCCTTCCTCAAATGCTGAGGTCCTTAACACTACTGCCCCTGGAGAGAGCGCTAACTCCCAAGCAGCAGTGCAACATGGGATTGATGAGAGCACTCCCTCTGTTACTGAAACCCTCGCTGACTCTAAAACTCCCAAAGCAAAAAGTACGGAGGCTGACAGGCTCACGGAGCCTGCTACTCACCTCCCCCAGCCTGTCAGAGAGGTGAACTTCCTCCTCGGCTCTATCTGCCCTGATGCCTGCTCTTTTTAGCTTCCACTTGCTTGCCTTCACACTCTGTGTTGTGTTCATAGAGGCATTGCTGACACACAAAAAGAAAAAATGTATCTTGGATGTGGAGGCAGTATGCAACCTTTGAGATTTGAAAGCAAAGTTATCCCGATTCTGCCTCTGATCTTTGTTTGAAAGCGTTCAGTACTTCTTTTAAATGGCTGTCCATGTGTAACCCAAGGGCCGTTTGCATGCGGACGACTGGGGCCCAAACTAACACCCAGAGCACCCGTGCAGTCTGGGCCGTCTGCTGGCAGCCTCTTTCATCTTTAACAGTTGACTTCCTTCTCCTGGTATTTTAGATTTACCGTTTTATCTGTTTGACAACAGTCTGTCCACTTCTTTGCATGTCAAGTTTATTTTTATTTTTTTTTACCCCAAGGAAAGAGAAACAAGAAGATTGGAACTACTTCTACTGGTGGACATTTTAATTTGGTGTCAACATAAAATTATAGCTGTAGTTCCTTTCTGCTTGTTTTTTTTTTCTGCCATCCATGTTTGTTCATCCAATCTTTGTTTTCTCCTAACCTCTCCCCCCAGGCTGACGAGCGTTTCCGTAAGAACATTCAGGGCTCCCCACAGTCTGCCCCTCCTTCCAAGCAGCCCCCTCTGCCTCCCCGCTCCTCTGAACCTTTCTCCAACGGGGGCCCCGCCTCGGAGGCCTCCGCCATGCACCGCCCCATGGAGCCTCAGGTAACTCCATCCACCTCCCTCTGCCTCTCCCTTTCTTTTCCTCCACTATTTTTCCAACAGAAGTTCATCAAAACCATCAGTAATAACGGTACGGTTGAGGATTTTGGAGAATTTTTGAAAAGACCCGCCCTCTCTGATCTCTCCTCTGTCCTGTTTAAAAGTTGCTGTTTGCATTGCTCATATAAGCTTACTTTCCAAAAGAAGATTTGGAAAGTAACATCCTCCTCTATACCTTTAATTTTAGCCACAGGTTTATTAATGAAAGGTCTCAAGTTTTAAATTAAGTTTAGATGTTTTTTTTCTGCTACCTTGTGTCATATAAACTGTTAAATTTGATTGTTTTAAAGTTAGAATTTCGTTTAAATTAGACTTTCTTTTTAACAGTTGTAATACTGATGATTTACTCAAAAAATTAAAGATGATAAATTAGGAAACTGTTTGGATTTTGTTTGTAGTTTGTTTTAAATTACATGAAATTCCAATTAAATGGATTATTATATGTGATTATGACAAAAATGTGAAACATTTCCAGGGGTGTGATTATTTTCCCCCCTTTTCTTGGTGTTTAAAGTTTAACTTCAGGACTGGATTGAGATTAATAACTAATTATCAACTAATTATCAGCTAAAAGGCCTTAACTAATAACGGAGGACGCTGTAGATTAAACTCTTAGGAATTATTTGCAACTTTTGTTGCTTTTATTATGAAACAGCCTGGTAAAGCTGGGCTATCGTTATTGATATAACCTAATTTAATTTAACCACTTGCACAAACTTAACCTTATAGATTTTGCTCTGAGGTTGAGCAACACGCATCGTTTCGTGTTCTCTGTTTGCATGTGTATCTATCAAAGCACATGTATGTACAAAACCTCACACATCTTCCCTCGTGTCTCACTGTTTTGTCTGCCTGTTTCGTCCTCCTCCCCCTCCTTCCCTTCCCTCCCTCCCACAAAGGTCCAGTGGTCCCACCTGGCTGCTCTAAAGAGCAGCAACAGTGCAGCCCCCTCTCCTCCTCCTCCACCTGTGGTCTCTCGCTCCCAGTCCTTCAGCGAGTCTGGTGGTGTGAACTCTAGCTTTGCACAACTTCACCTGCGGTCCCAGGACCCCCACCATCATCATCACCCATTGCCTGCACGCCCCGACCCCCAACCTCCCCTCCACCACCCTCAGGCTCAGACCAGGCTTGAACGCCAGACCAGCAGTGAGGAGGTCCCTCCTAAGGTAAGGAGCTGGCCAGGGCTGCTGTGATGCCACTCCCACCGTCCCCACTGTCAGCCACCTCCTATCACATTATTCTCCTCACCCTCTCCGTCTGCCTTTGTTCATTTCATCAAATTTTAGTCACAGTAGTGACGCATAAAGTGAAATTAAATAAAATCTTTTACATAGTTTTTTTTATATATTTTTTTTTTAATTTTCACAGATCAGTTTTATTTTTTGGTGCGAATTTAATGTTTTATGAAAATGTGTTTCCTTTTGGTTTGTTCTTTTTCTTTTAAAGACTTCCATTTTTGGATCATCATTTCTTTTCAGACAGAAATTTCCTGAATGAATACAAAAAGTGAAGTTTCTCCCCCCTGCTGTAAATCAGTTCATCTTTACTAGCCACACCCAGGCCTGATTACTACCAGGTTTGTGGTATAAAAAAACAAAAATAACAAAAAGAATCCGTCTGACAAGAAGATTACTAAAGAAGCAAAATGTGGCCCTGTGTAGAGAACTGTAAGAGCAGAGGAGATGCAAAGTCTGGAACCATCTCTAAAGATTTTGGACTCCAATTAACCACAGTAAAATCTATTGTCAACAATTAAAGAAAACATGAAACAGTGGAGAAACTTCTAGTAGCAAAAATACTCTTAAGATGGCATCAAAACTATACCAGGAGGTGACAACATTACCAAGACAGTAATGGCCTCTTTCCCACTGAAATCAGCGGGTTTTTCAAACACGGGTCGATGGGCTGAAAATTAGCACTTGACTCCTTTCCCACTGGCAAAAAAAAAAAACCCTATGCTGGCAAGCTGTGTGGCCTCTATGCCCCAATTTTTTTGTGTCTGGTGACACCATCACGCTGGGTTAGCCTTGATGATGTCACCAGTAAGACAGAAATTAGGACAGTAAGCAATGGAGAGCAACATGGAAGGGAGCCAGCACGCAGTACATGAGCTTTATTGTTTCTATCCGAATCAGATGAGACTGGCGCAGTGTGTTGACGTCTGTACGTTGCCCTCAGTGGTATCATGTATATTAGCATGTCAACCAGGCAGCTGCCGCTCCAAAGCTCAAACATAAACACATGTATATGTCCATATGTCCAATAGACTTCTGGGAAAAATATTTTATGGATGTTTTGTTTTTTTCATATCTGGCATAAAACTAACAGAATTTAAGGGAAGCAACATCATAAAACAAGTTGGTAGTGTAAAAGGCTCATGGTTGACGCACGAACATTTGCACGAAAGTTTGCCGTGGAAAAGGAGTCACCGTCACAGCATCTGCTGCATTTATACTTGGCTTTCCCCCTGTTCTGGTCGGCTCCAGGGGGGGCGTGTTGAACACAAGCTGTAAGCTGACACCACCAATTTGTTGATAGTGGTGATATTTATGAGTTAAATAATGGGATGTCCCTAGATTTTTACATTTGCGCCAGCAGGAGCTGCTGCTCCCTCGCCATTGTCTCCCTCGCCAAGTCTGTCCACTTTGATTCCTGAGTGGCGTGGAACCCCAAAATGGGGTAATTTGGTTGCGCGGAAGCATCAAACATAAATCAAGCTTAATCGGTAGTGGGCAATGCGGATCCTAATCGCATCAGGAAGCCTGACCCCTGGCTACGACAGAGGTTAAAGGGTTTTGGTAGGTCTATTCAAAGTCCAGCAACATTAGATCAAGATCGCATGACTTCCATAAACCCTTCACTATTGGTCTGCTTGTTACACAAAGAAATTATTTAAAAATATTGGACCGAAATTCCTTCCAAGTGATATAAAACTCGTTAGCATTTATTGCAAATACTCAGTCCCAGTTGTTTATGGAATAGTTACCTTTTTTTTAAATCTGGACAGCTCGCTTTGTAGGTTTTTTTTTTTTTTTTTTTTTTTTTTTTCTTTCAGTAAAAAAGGAAAACTAAAATATTCAATTCGGGGCCAAAAAACCAATTGAATTTGGTAACAATTTTTTTTACAATGCTGAGGACCTTTGGTTGTGTCCAACAGGTACCAGTGAGGACAACATCCAGGTCTCCTGTGCTGTCACGCCGAGAGTCACCTCTACCATTACAGCCCAACAACCAGAGGAGTGCAGGCAGGTCTGTAACCCATCACTTTTTAAATTACGCTTTCATGAGTATATTTTTTACAACAATTTTTACAATAATTAATAAAAATACCATGAAGGGTTCAAATAAAAATATCTTAAAGAAGTCTATTAAGTCTATTGATGTGCTGCTATGTTATTTATATCACATTCAGTTCAAATTCATTTATTTTAAAAGCTTTTTTTTCCCTCTTATTTGGGGTTTTAACCTGAGAAAAATCTAAAAACAATAACCAATTGGCATTGAATGTGTGAATTTCTAGTGTGATTTTTTTGTTGCATGCCAGTGTGATCAACTCATAATGAGTGGCATAAATTTGAGAGGAGATATTTTATTTGATGGTCCATGGATTTCTGTCTCAGTAGTGTGGAGCAGCGCCCCCTGTGGGACAGAGTGGAGAAACTGCAGTCTAGACCAGGCAGTGGCAGCTCCTCTGGATCTAATGCCAGCTCCCAGGCCAGTCCAGGCGACCGCTTCAGGCCACGTTGTGAGTCACCTGGTGCTGTACACATTTCACATCCTTTACTAAGTTTAACGTTTCACTTTATCAGGAAAATATTCTGTCTTTTTTTTATTTATTAATGGAAAAGATAACTAAAATCCCCTATTCATGTTGTTTCCCCTTACTAATACTGTTTATGTTTCCACAAAGCTTCCTCTAAATCGGAAGGATCGCCTCTCCAGCGTCCAGAAAACATCCTAAAAAAAACAGATGAGAAGAACTCCTCCAGACCCACGCGACCCGCTGTAAGTCCCCTGCTGCTGAAAAAAAAAAAAAAAAAAAGATGGCCCAATATCCTGATTTCCTTACTTATTGTACTATATTGAAGAAAAAAAACAACAGATCAGATGTTTTTTTTAAAGGATATGTAAAGAAGAAAAATGTGGGAGTTGCTACAGGTTTTAAGGTTTATTAAAAGCTTTTATCATTTAGATAAGAACATAAAACTTAAAAATATAGTAGATGTTTATTGACATTATTACCGGTTCAGTCCTTTAAAAATACCAAATAAATGTAAAGGTGGTGTTTCTTGCAAATACCGTATTTTCACGACTATAAGGCGCACTTAAACGTCTTTTTTTTCCCTCAAAATGTGCAGTGCGCCCTATGGTGCGGTGCGCCCTATGTGTGTTGTAACTGCGACATTTGAGACCACCTCATTGAGGAGATGATGAAAGAGTGGCTGAATGTAAGGAGACCAGGTGTTTTTTTTCCACTCATCACCATTGCTGTTAATATGTAACTCCATGCGTGCCCATCTCACAGCTGATGTGAAAAACATGTGGAAACAAATTAACCCTGTGCTCGCTGTTCAACCGCTCGACATCGGTGTGAACCGGACCCAGCAGGTGCAGCAGAAGCAGCGAGTTTACATGCAAAGTAAATGGATGACGCGCGTATAGGTGCAGCAAAAGGTCCTGCAGCGCGTTTTGAGCAGCAGGCGCTGCGTCGGGAGCGTTTAAGCATCTGACGCACCGCCAACGCGCTGCTGCTGCTCGAGATGGAAAAATTGAAGTTTTGCTGCTGGACGCGCCGCATCAACCAATCAGAGAAGCTGATCTGGGAGCTGACAGCGAGACAGACACAGCGCTCTGATGACATATGATATTAACGCAAATGGAAAAGGCTGGATGGATGAGGAGATGATGAAAGCGTAGCTGAGGGAGGTGTAGCCTATGTGAGGAGACCAGGTGGTTTTTTCCACGCATCACCATCGCTGCGTGCCCATCTCACAGCCGATGTGAAAAAAAAAGGTGAATCAAATGGATACTGTGCTCGCTGTTATCCCGGGGGGTCTGACAAAGGAGCTTCAACCGCTCGACATCAGTGTGAAGCGGCCGTTCAAAGTAAGGCTGCGAGCGGCGTGGGAGCGATGGATGACCGACGGAGACCACAGTTTCAGGATAAGTGGAAGGCAGCGCCGGGCAAGTTACGCCATCGTTTGCGGATGGATTGTAGATGCTTGGACTAACGTGTCTGCTGGCTCTGTTCTTCAAGCTTTTGCAAAAGCCGGCATTATTTCTGAGGAGCTGCGCTGCACGGAAAGTGACTGACAGCGAAGAAGGGGAAATTGGCACGTCTGATTTAGCGCAGCTGTTTTATTCAGAAACAGAGGATGATGACTTTGATGGGTTTGATTAATACTTTGTAATAAATACATGAATAAAGCACAATCATACTCAGTTTTGCTCCCGCTCTATTTTTCTACCTGAAAACTTAATTCAACAGCAGCCTCTGGGCCGGGTCTCCTCCTCTTCACCGCGGTGGCTGGCAGGTGTTTTTTCATCTAAATAATCTAAATCTTGCAGCTATATTTGCTGTGATCAGTGGGAATAAAGTAGTTTTAATATGTTTTTAAGTGAGAAAGTCCACCTGAAAACTTAATAATTGCAGTCAGTTCATCCAGATTATCTATTTCTGTTCGAGGCGCTCAGACCCCCACATACCAGCGGTGCGCCGACAGGAGAAATCCTTTCATCAGCAGCCTCTAGGCTGGGCAGCCTCCGGGTTCACGCGGTGGCTGGCAGGTGTTTTTCATCTAAATAATTTAAACTGCAGGCACCCATAAAAGCGAACATATTCCATCGGCAGGTTTCAGGATTTTAAGTTAATTTAGGAGTGATCACAGCGCTGTGTCATCTGCGATGTGTCTGTATCAAGGCCAGCTGCCAGGTTTGATTAATACTTTTTAATAAATACATGAATAAAGCACAGTCATACTCAGTTTTGCCCCCGCTGTATTTTTAAATACGCAGTAGAGGTATTTAAAGGTAGTAGAGGACATGTACCTGTATATAAAAAACGCGCCCTATAGTCCGGTGCGCCTTATGTGTGTGTTAAATACAGAAATGGGACACATAACTGAGACTGCGCCTTTTAGTACGGTGCGCCTTATGGTCGTGAAAATACGGTATTTAAAAAACGTTTGAATCCATTAGGTTACAATTTCATTATCTTACTAAAAAATTCAAGTTTAATTTAAGTTTATTTAAGATATATTGATTAGTCTGGTTTCACGTGGTTTATTCATTTATAGGTTTTGTATGTTTAGAATTTTGTGACAAATATAATGCTGCAAACGATTTTATATAGTCCTAGTTTTAGACTTACTTTCTGACAGAAACCTTAAATGAACTCTTATAGATCTCTTTTAAACCATTTTTCAGTTTTTATTGTGTCTTCAGTACAGGTTTAGGTCTGAAAGTGACATTTTTTTACCCCTTGTGATGAAAAAAAGGTGTTAAAATGTTTAAACTGAATCTAGAATTAAAGACAGCCATCTTTGCCCCACACATGTAAGCTAGCATCAGCTTCATGTTGTTTTAGTGTAACCACATTTAGGTGCAAAAACCCTAAACCTCCTGGGACCTCACTATTTTTGCAACAGGGCTGTAATGAAATTCAACCTGTTTTTTTTAGTGCGTAATTCTCCAGAAGTTTATCAAAACTAAAATTTAAACGTAGTGTTGAGTTCTGAAAAGGATGCGGTGTAAAAACCTGATTGCAGATGTGATGGAGCACATTTTTTCTCTCGCCCTGCTCTGTTTTCTGCCACTCTTAATTTTCCCACCAAGGGTGACACGGTAAGACTCTGTCAAACGTTTGCATTCTCACATCCTTTTCATGCTTGGGGTTCCTATGCATCTAGGAGAGGTCAGGATTGAATAGGTGTTAAAAATGGATTTAAGTTTGTATTTCCAGACTTTATTTCCAGAACCATTTCTTTAAATGTTGTCCCTCCTTCTTTCCTTCCTTATGTCCTTGTATCCATCTTTGGGTTTTTTTCGTCCTCATTCATTTCTTTCCTAAAGTCATTCTTACCTCGTGTCCTGCTTCCTTATCCTTATTTCTTAAATCTTTTCTTCCTTCTCTCCTCCTCATCGTTTGCTTCTTTTTCTCCTTCCCTTTTTACATTTTCCTATCCTCATTGTCATTCTTACATTTCTCCCTTCCTAAGGTATCTACCTCCTTTGTTTCTTTCATTTTTATGTCCTTACCTTGTGATTTTCTTGTTTTATTTTTCCTTGCTTTTGTCCCTTGTCCTGCATCAATCTTTCCTTCCTTGTTTTTTTCTTTCTTTTTTCCCTTCCTTCCTGTGTCCTGGCTTCCTTCCATTGTGTTTTCCTGATTTTCTCCACTTTTGAAATGACCTAGTATTTAAAAACTAAAACTCATGAACATTTGAGTCTGGAGAAGTTAATTGTTTTTCAATGAGCAATGTGTAGGAACCCTGTGTGATGGAGCCTCTACATCATGACTCTGCATCGAATGAATAAATGTGCTGACTCTGCAGCGTCTTTTCTCATCCTTACCACTTCTGTACATTCCTCTCCATCAACAAAAGACACGGGTTAACTCTGACGCGGTTTCCTGAGCCTGGATTTGAATGCAACCTCATTTGAATGCAAACGGTCTCTCTGCTTGTCGGAGTGGCTGCTAATCTCACCTGGCTTTGTTGTCGGATCAGACTGCAGCCTATTTGTTTTGTCAAGCATGTCGGGGGGGATTGTCCCCTCCTCCCTTTTCCTGTTTGTCACTGACCTTATAAACCAGCATCTTTAGGTAGAAACTAAAAAGACAACTGAAAGTCATTTGTTAATCTGATTTTAATGCTTCAAAGAATATTCCACATAATGTCTCCTGCAGCTAAGATTAGGTGGAATGAAACATGCTGTTAAGCTGACATTTTTAATGAGCCCAAGGCTGAGTTTCTCTAAACGACCTGTTTGAGCCTAGAAATGGGATACATCGACCTGATTACATCACTGCAAACTTATGTAAAGCAAGGAGAGATTGCTTCAAGGCTCTGCTGAATTTCATTACTTTATGAAGGTTGGGTATAAACATTTAGGTTCAGGGTTGCATCAGATGTGTTCAGATTAGAGTCCATGGATGAAAGAACTGACTGGGTCTGTCCCTGTAGGACCTGGCGGCTCTGGCCAAAGAGCTGCGTGCAGTAGATGACGTGCGGCCTCCTCACAAGGTGACGGACTACTCCTCGTCGAGCGACGATTCCGGCACCACTGATGATGAAGATGAGGAGGAGGTGGACCAGGAGGCAGGAGATGAGTCTACCTCAGGGGCTGAGGACTCCAGAGCAGGGTAATTCAACTGCCTCACCAACATAAAATGTTTCAACACCGCATCCAACGCTGTGTGAAGTAAAGTTTACTATAGTTTGGCTAAATGTTTACTTTCCTTCCTTCCTTCATACCTTGTTTCTTTTTTCAACTCCAGGAGGCTTTGCATGCTTTCTTGATTCATTTTTTTCTCCATTCATTACCTTCTTTTAATCTCTTTCTTCTTTCCCTCCTGATGCTTTTCCTGTTTGCATTTGTCATTCCCCCTTTGTAGCTTCTGTTCTTTAATTTTTCCTTGTTTTTACTTAATTCTTTCTTGTGCCCCACATTCCCTCCTCTTTTTTTCTTTGATTCTCCTTCCTTCCTTCTTCCTTAGAAGCTCTTATTTTTTATTAAAATAAAAAATGTTATTAAAATTTATTAGAAAGTACTTTATTAATTCCAATTCAGTCTAAGGAGGAGGGGGGAAAAAAATCATATTTCACCTGTTATCCTTAGCATGTCTAAGAAACCTCCACATGTGTGGGGAAGTGGTGTCTGAGGCCTTGCTGCCATCAAAGGCTCTGCCCCTTCCTTACTAATTTCTTTCCTTCCTGGTTCTATATTTAAAAAATACTATCAGTCACAAATTTAAAGTCAACTTGACTATCTCACATTTAAAATGAACATGAATGAGTAAGAACACGTTTGCCCCGCAAATCAGCTGCATCTTTAAGGAAAATAAAAGCATCTTCTGAATCCTGCAGGAGGCTGAGTAATGGAGAGACAGATTCTGCTAAGACCATGCTGGTGGAGGACCTGGAGAGTGAACAAGCCACCACACCTTCCAAAGATGGCACCCTGGTCATCAGACAGGTAGAAACCTTTTTGACTGAAGCAAAAAAAAAAAAGATTTTCTTTTCCATGTCCTGGATCCAGGCCCAGTGTCTTTTATCCACATATTGTCCTCCTGTCTTGTTTTGCTGCATGCTCATTGTCCCATGCGCTGTGATATTTCACCTTCACAGATCAGAGCATTTACAGCCACTGGCGCTGCTCTTCAACGAGAAATGAATTGATTATGCAATGATTTGCAAAAGTAATCACACCCCTTGAGCTCTTTTTTTACATTCAGTCACACTAGACCCAGAAACAACAACATATTGAACTGCACTCCATTGTAAATGGAGGGCATCTGGGAAATAAAATTTTCTAGTTTTGCCAAAGATTCTTAGTTTTAAACCTTGTTTTTTGTAGGTTGCTTTAACACAATATGTTTGGTAACAAATCTATTATAAAGCTGCTCTTGAAAATTGTCCCAACCACCAAGCTGCGCTCTTTTAAGCACGAGTCCCCTGGTTGCAGTAGATCCATGCAAAACAAATCAATTTAATCCAGTTTTGACATAGTGTCTCATCAAACCATATTAAGATTTGTTGCTGCAGCGTGACGATGTGAAGAAGCTCAGGGGGCATGAACACTTCTGCGAGGCGCTGTGTTGAAAAACGCAGCCAGTCTCCCTCTTCACCTCCTTGCTTGAGCCCAAATGTGCCTGTTTCTTGCTTCCAGAGCACAGCTGACATAAAGCGGTTGGTCAGTCTCTCATCTTCCTCCTCTTCCTCGCCTGGCCCTGGCCCAGGGCACGGCCTCCCAGAGAAAAACGGCTTTCCCGGCCACATTCACTACCTACCAGACCTTATCCAGCAGAGCCATCACTCCCCTTCCTCTTCTACAACCATCCTTTCCTCCATCTCCATGTCTCCCTCCTCCTCCTCTTCCTCCTTTCAGTCATCTTCTAGCCAGGCCAGTCCTGGAATGTGTCCACAAATTCCCTTGGATGAGCTCACTGCCATAGAGGTATGTTGCCCTCCCCCCAAAGAGGCAAACAATCAAGGAACGGCCAGTTCAGAAATATACAGGCTTAGATGTGCAGAGATCATTTCCCCATCTAATCCTATGTATCCTGACTGTACCGTCCTTGCTTGTTGGAGCCTCCCTTCACCCTTTCCTGCCCCTCTGCATCCTTCTGGTTTCACCACTGCTGCTTTCTGACTCCGCTCACACCCTGTTTCAAACCCTGAGCTCCAGCATCTTTCCATTTTCCTGCTCTGCAATGCGCCCATTAAACTGCCTCTAACATCGGTGCCTCCTGCTGGTAAAATGGCATCACAACATGGAGGAGACTCCTCTGAAGAGAGATTTTGGGTTAGATTGACTTGCATCGCTGCTGATGATTAAATCTTTTTTTCCCTCTAACAAATCACAGCTTGCGTCTGGATAGACTATTGTTTCTTCTCGTTTTTTACACTGTTGTTTCCATTTGATGCTTTTTTTCTCTCTCCAATCTCTAATAAATTAACATTCTGCATGAAATCCATTGGTTTTTACATGTTTAGTGCTTGGTTTGTTTTCAGCTTAAATTAGCAGTGGGGGGGGGGAGCTTTTCTTATATAGAGAGCTACAGTCAAAACCAGATATTTATAGATTCTGTAAAAAAAAAAAAAAAAAAAAAAAAAAAAAAGATCCACAACATTCTTTTTTCTCCTTTGCCTTTAACTTTTAATATTTTTTTCGTTTAATAAAACAAAAAAGGAATAAATACATTTGCTAAATGCCAAAATAATCTTAGAATCTAGCTACGTTCATCTGTAATTATTTTAAGTATAAAAGATCCATCTATCCTAATCTGAGTGTTTAGTGTAAAATTTGTAGATTAAACCCCAGAAAAAAAGAAAAACATCTGAGGTTGATGGTTGAAGCTGGTGGGAGTCATTATCGATGGGGAAACTGAGATTTATTTCAGCACAAAGTGCTGAAATGCCGCTCTGCAGGGAAGACTTCAAAACATAAAAGACAGGATTAAACCTCTAGATCAGGCTTTCTTTTAAGTGTTTCAAATTCAACTTTAGGCAAATATATGATGAAACGGTGCCTTTAGCAGTAGAGAGTATTTATTTGTTATGAAAATTAGCCATTTTCTTCCAACCTAGAAGAAAAAGACCGGCTTCCATACAGCGAAGCCTCTTCTTTCAGTCTGTGTGCAAAACTTTTCATGTCCTCCCAATATCATAGCCTGACGTAGTCCTACTCAATTCTAGTCAGAATATGAGTCTGATACTGCTCCATAGAGCTGTGATTATGGGGCGTGTTTCGAATGAACCAGGAAAAAAAATGCTTCTGCACTCAATTGGATAGACCAACAACCAATAAGAGCAACGGAGTGCGTGACGTATGTTAAGCGATGCATAGTTGTTGTCAACAAAAATAAAAGCGTGCAGTTTCACGCCTAGAATAAGAAGATAAGCCTTGATCGCGTTTCTCTGTTCCTCTGCTAAAATTAATTTGCTGTCGATATCTTCTAGAACAGACCTAATTGCAGAATCTACTCACCTCAACTCTCCGGCGGCAGCCATTGTTGTTGTCACACAAGCGCACTTTGGTCACGTGGTTGATTACGTTACTATTGATCATCTGTCCATCATCGTATAAAGCCCGCCCTGACAATTTGATTGGATCGCCAGAGGGTGGGCGATCATACTCGCGCTACTATGGAGCAGAGCCAGACCGAACTTCCCGACCTCAAACCTTGTGGGCGGGACTAAGTTCGGACTGGCACCCAGGCTACCAATATCATGCCATGTAGATTGCTTTACAAAGTCTGATGTCAATGACTGATGGCATGACTTGGACCAAGGTTATTGTTGACTAAAATTAAGGAAATATAGAAAAAAATGATTTTCAAAAAAATGTGTTTACTGAAATAAAAAAAAATATATATATAGATGTTGCAAAAAGACAAACAAAAACAAACTTGTAAACTCTTAGTAGAGTTTCAAACTAAACTAGCTGAATGTAGTTTTTATTAGCCTTCATCATAATGCATTAATATGTAATTTTTTAGCTTTTTCCCCCGCTTTATCAGATTACTCTAGCAGATAGCAGGAACAGCAGTCGGGTCATTTGTATTGCTAAACCAGTTGTGTCAATAGAGTATTTTATTTATATTTCTTTATTTTCTTTTTTTTTGTTTTTTAGTCTTACCCCTGGTATGCAAGTCCTATTACATAAAATATTAGAACTAAACTGACACTAATAAAAAATGAACTGAAACTAAGCATTTCGAACATTAAAAGCTAAACAAGCTCACAAATGGTAGCTGCAAAATTAAACAGAATATAAAATAAAAGTCAAAACTAAATAAAAAAAAGAACAAGAATGCCAAACGATTTAAACTTCGACTTGGGACAAAAGCTAATCAGGAACAGTTGCTGTGCAGATTGCTGCTAAAAGAGCCACTATGTCTTAATTTTAGGCCAGCAGCATCACGCTCTTCCTACCATCCCCCCCATGATCCTAGAAACAGGCATTTGTCTGGAGTGCAGGTTTAGCACAGTTAATGTATGTGTTATCACTTTGTTGCTAGGCTATGGACTGCTGCTTAGACAGCACAACTAATGATGATTAATTAAGTAAATTATCACTTTGTTGAGCTTTTAACCAAGTTATAACTCTATTCCTTCATCAAAATCAGCCACAGAGTTTTTTGGGGTTTTTTTTCACCTAAATGAATGTATGTTCATAATGGCTATAATGTTGTCTGGCGGTAAAAGGAAGAATCTTACAACTTAATGTTGATGAATGAGCGCCCAGCATCATGTGCCATGGATGCTTTTACTGCAGTAGACTTCATGAGTAAAGATCTTCATGTGGAAACACTGAAGCAAAATAACATGTTGCTGTCTGGAGGGTAACGCTTGGGGACAAATGGAAAATGACTCAAAGCAAACGATGGAATCTGGAAACTGACTCGGTTCCACCTGTTCTGTCGGGTGGTGTGGACCACAGATGTTAGTTTTTAAAGACAATCTACCAAATCTTAATGTAATGTATTTAAAAATCCTTAATTAATACAAAATTTAATATGATTAAATCCTTTTTTATTATGGCATTTGGCAGATAGTATTGATTAAAGTAGATGTATCACTTTAAAAAGTGAAAATATCTGGTTCCGGCTGTATGTCTCATCAGTTCAACAGTTTTGATCTTTTTAAAAGTAATATTTGCTTATGTCAAATATCTTCCAGTCCCAGTCAGAGAACAACTCAATGTCCAAACACAAGTCCTCTTCGTCATTCACACCCTTCATTGACCCCCGTCTTCTTCAGATATCTCCATCCAGTGGCAGCTCCCTGAACAACATGGGTAAGACTGATTTACTAAAAGATTGTCTAATAGTGAGTCAACTTACAGGTGATGAATATTTTAAAAAAATCAAACAACCAAACCTCTGCTGTCCCAAACCTCCAGCTGGATTTGGGCAAGAAGGACGCCTCCCAGACCCGCTGAGAGCCGACCCGTCCCGAAAAGGATCCGTGGTCAACGTCAACCCGGTCAACACGCGTCCACCCAGCGACACTCCAGAGATCCGCAAATACAAGAAGAGGTTCAACTCTGAGATCCTGTGTGCAGCACTGTGGGGTAGGTGTCTTCTTACAGCTGGACCCGGGTGAGTTTGACCCAAACAGGCTGGTTGATTTACTTTCTGCTTCTGTTTCAGGAGTCAATCTGCTGGTGGGGACGGAGAGCGGGCTGATGTTACTGGACAGGAGCGGCCAGGGGAAAGTTTACCCCCTCATCAACCGGCGCCGTATCCAGCAGATGGACGTCCTGGAGGGACTCAATGTTCTGGTCACCATATCAGGTGTTTACCACTAAAGTTTTTCGCCACACAGAAGAACCTTTAATCCATACTTTTGGTTTAACCGTTGTGCTCTGGGTTCTGCAGGTAAAAAGAACAAGCTGCGGGTGTATTACTTGTCGTGGCTCAGGAATAAGATTTTGCACAACGATCCTGAGGTGGAGAAGAAGCAGGGCTGGGTGAACGTGGGCGACCTCGAGGGCTGCGTCCACTACAAAGTCGGTACGTTCTGTCGTGTCTGTGATCTTGGAGATCAGCTACGCTCAAAATCTTTATATTAGACGACTGGATGAAACTTCTCTTTGTCTTTTTGTTGCAGTGAAGTATGAGAGGATTAAATTTTTGGTACTGGCTTTGAAGAACTCGGTGGAGGTCTACGCCTGGGCACCCAAACCCTACCATAAATTTATGGCTTTTAAAGTAAGGAGCATTAGAGATTCACCTTTTTAAGTTACAGCGCCGTTTTCAGCCTCTAACCTCAAACTTCTGATTGGGTTTAGTCTTTTGGCGACCTGGTGCACAAGCCTCTGCTGGTTGACTTGACTGTGGAGGAAGGTCAGAGGTTAAAGGTCATCTATGGCTCCTGCTCAGGCTTCCACGCCGTCGATGTGGATTCCGGCGCCGTCTACGACATCTATCTGCCCACACATGTATGTATTTAGGTTAACAATGTTGGGTTTTCATGCTCTTCACCATCTAATCGCTCTTTTTTTTGTTTTTTATTTTTCTCCCTTTTCTTTCTTCAGATCCAGACCAACATTCAGTGCCACGCCATCATCATCCTCCCCAACACAGACGGCATAGAGCTGCTGGTGTGCTACGAGGATGAGGGAGTCTATGTGAACACCTATGGCCGTATAACCAAGGATGTGGTGCTACAGTGGGGGGAAATGCCAACATCAGTGGGTAAGCTGGCTGTTTTGATCAGAAACCGCCACTATGATTCATGCAGCGATTGTAACGAGCTCCGTGTTCTACCGCAGCCTACATTAGGTCAAACCAGATAATGGGCTGGGGTGAGAAGGCCATCGAGATCCGCTCAGTGGAGACTGGACACCTGGACGGCGTCTTTATGCACAAAAGAGCTCAGAGACTTAAATTCCTTTGTGAGAGGAATGACAAGGTTAGAATAAAATGTGTTTGTTTAACTTAAAATGTTTTTATTTAACAGGTTTTTCAAAAAAAATTTAAACCTTGCCAACTCTAGAGAGGAGACCTGTACAATAAAAATGAATAAATAATGAAATGAGCTTGAATAGTAGGACTTATCTCTTAAGTTTGGCATTTAAAATATGTGATTATTGTGGAATCCTATTTAATAATAAAATATTTTGATATAAGAACTGATAAGTACACTAGCTTACAAATAAAATTCATTATGACAATGCCAATGCATCTTACCACAGTTTTACTTAAAATAAGCTCCATTACGGTTTTATCCAAGATGAGCAAAACAAAGAAAATCAAAAAGGAAAGTTTTCAAACAAAGTACCGTATTTACCCGAATATAGGACAAGTTTTTTTTCCTGTGAAAATGTGGGGTCGTCTTATAATTGGGGTCTAAACAATTATACAGCTTGACTGTTGCCTGCGGTCGCTACACAAATGGAACAGTAGAGGGCGCCAGTTTTTGTAAAGGCAGTGACCTCACTGTGGCTGAGGCCATCTTTCCATCACCACACAGAAGGAAAGGACGCTACAAAGGAGAGCCGCTCCCTAGAATGTTTCGGATCAAAATTTTGACAAGTTTGTAGAGATTTAAGGCGGAGTTCTGGAGACAATTTAAAAATAACTTTTTATTTAATTGCACAATTCTTTCAATCTATTATTACTTCAATAAAATTGTTAGCACTTCAATATAAAATAGTTTTTTGAACCAAATAAGTTTAGTTTATTGGTCTTTATTTCTTTCTCTTTGGTCTTTTTGTTTTATTCCTAAAAACTAGTCCTAAAAAGAAGGGGTCGTCTTATAATCCAGGTTGTCCTATATTCAGGTCAGTACGGTAATAAAACTAACTATAGAACAATATAAGTTGAATAAAATGAGACAAGGTAGAAAATCTGATAAAATCAATAATAAGAAGATAAAAGGACAAAAAATAAAAGGTAGTATTTTATTTTTATTCATTGAGATAAACAGATGCAGTTTTAGTATTAAACTCCATGCTTATAACTTATAAACTAACCAGACAAACACAGAAATCTTTGTGTTTTTGACATAAAAGTATCATTAGCATAAAGAGAAATGTTGTTTAGTGTGACCTCTTTGAAAGCCATGTGCATTCTATTAACATCAAATAGATATTTTATATTATTTAATACTTGCGAAGTTAATGCTCGATGTATAAAATAAATGCTTAAATGTAAAAATAATAAATAAGCCAGATACGAACACAATCCAGAGTGAATAACTCTTTTAAAGACGAGTATAAAAATATTTTATGTTTCGGACACATTTGGGGTTGAAAACCTGATTCTAAAGACAAATCCAGACCTATAGAACCAGAATCTGCTGTAAATATTTCTCTTCTGTCCGCTGGTTGAGGCACTAGAGATGGCTAGTTGCAGAGTTATTCAATAATCCAAACAGATAAGCTGTACACTTTTATCCTATCAATCAATTTTTCCTATTTTTTTATTATAAAAATTACCCAAAGCCGTGTGATATATTCTTTTAAGTCAATGGCATGCAGTAAAGTTTTATTTATCTAATTCTTTTTCTTATACCTGGTGTTTTAAGTGTTTAGCAGAAATGGTTTCTGTCTTTAAATAATTATGCAGACTGAGTTAGTTGGACATAAATTTAATTTCTAAGTATGTTAAATAATGTTTATGAATTCAGAGTATTTATCTTTATTTTATTACTTGCCTATATAGCAGAAATTAAAAATCACAGCTTTAAATGTCTTGACTCTCCTGTCTGATAGGTCTTCTTCGCCTCCGTACGTCAAGGCGGTGCCAGCCAGGTGTATTTCATGACTCTGGGACGCACCTCCCTAATGAGCTGGTAGCCAACGCCACGGCAACCGACGACGACCGTAACCTACAACAGAGAGAGTAACACTCCTGAGCCTGACCTGGTGGAGCACCTCATCCTCGGGGAAACCAGCCTGTTTGGACTGTTTATGAAAATGAGGCAGGGAATGGATGGAGGCATGTTAGGTTTGTCCCCCCCTCCCTCCCCTCTTTAGGTCTGTAGTCACCTTGCTGCCCTCCCCTCGTCGTCCTCTGGGGGGGAGTGGTAGTTGTTGATTTTTGTGTCACGGTAAAGCTTTGCATCTTGTATGTAATTAAAGCGTGTTTCGTCTTGAAGGGACAACAAAAGGCTGTACGCAGCTGACGCTGTATCAAAATAAGAAAACTTGATGTGCCAGAACTCGGTGTAGCTTTCCTTGAATTTAAAAGATCTCTCCCCGTCAAGCATGTCTTTGAAACGACTCCAGTTTCTCCCCCTGATCTCGGTGCTTGACGTGCGAATCTGCGTCTTCACTTTGATGGCCTTAAAGTGAAGAACTCCTATAAGGACCTTCTTGATTTTTATCAGTTTAACACAGGGTACTGGAAAGCAGCTTGTACATACTAACTAACTACAGACTTGCGCAGGTTTTCCAGTCACTTTGACCACTTTGCCTCATCGTGCTGTAACTTATGTTTGACAGAATCCCTCTTGATGACATCTTGATGCAAAATTACCCCGTTTTTTTTAAACACTGTATATTTTGTATGTGACTTGCTGCATATAAATAAACATCAACAAAGCAGGACACATCAGATGAGCTGTAAAGGAAAAAAACTATTTATCCTTCAATCTGTCATATTCTTAGGGCTCTAACTTTCATCAACCGTTTGTCACTCTGCCGTCATTGGGTTCTGTATTTTTTTTTTCTACTGGAAATATAAAAACATACAAAAGCAAAACACATCCAGAAATGTGAGGATCATTTTTTTTACTATATTAGTTCCATGCAGGGTTAAGCTGTGAATTAAACACGCAGAATTGGTGGCAAGACGGGCTGAAAAAAAGGGAATAAGGATCGGCTCGTCGCCCATCTGCACAATCGGGTCATTTCACCTGTTTCTGGCTTCATCTGTAGCTTAATGGTTGCCTTAGAAGGATTAGAATTTGAACCCTGTAGACATTTGGATGTTGTGTACTGCTGGATCACTCTAAACCAGCCACGTCGCCTCATCTCGGACCTCTTTTAAATGACGCTTGGTTGATCGTTTACATAATCCTGTCCAGATGAAAAGGCATCCGACCCGAACTGAAGGACTTTCCGTATCCAAAGCCCGCTCTTCACTTCCCTTTCCACGGTTCAGAGTTTGTCCTTGTGCTCAGATGTCTTGGAGATGCCTTCAGGTGTTTATTAGCGGGACAGGATCAAAGTTAGGTGCTTTATTTTGTAGTCTTTACCCGATAAATCACTCTTTCTCACAGCAGTGTTACAGAACCACTTAGAATCATTTTTTACTTTTGTGTCAGCGATTTATCTCAGATAATTATACGACTGCAGTGGGTTGTTTTTTTTATTGTAATGCACACCTTATGTTGAAAATGTTTACAAAAGCAGTTTTTTTTTAACCAGTGTGCGTCAATTTGAGTATTTATGGTTTATTTTTAGGGTAGATCTCCCTCTGTTTTGTATTTTGTAACCCTCTTTTTTTGTATTATCATTTAGACGTTTCTGTGCAGGGATAATCAATTGTTCAACAAGTCCACAGTGTCATTTCCAATCGATTCCTCCTCTGCAGCGCACAGTAGGCTGCTGGCTGTGTAGCGGAAGACGTTTTCCACTATCGGGGTGACGTGTTTTCCCCTTAAACGTCACTCTGGCGTGCCTCTAATTTATGTCCTCTCTCTGTGTGCTATGGGGATTACTGTGTTTTACTGAGAATTTTTGATTTTTTTTTTCCTCCATTGAATAAAATCAAGTGATTTACAAAGCTGTGTCTGTATTTATCATAAAACATAACATCTGTATTTCTATAACTTGAATCATGTAGGTTTTCTTTTCAAGTTGCAAAGTGAAACAGTTTACACCTAAATTGTACTCAAAACAACCTTAATCCTTGACTTTGAGCTTGCGGTGTTAACTTTCATTAAAAAAGTGGTGGTAGTATAATGGTTTGGGTCTTGTTTCCCTATCCGTATTTGGGCATATTTTACCTATTCAGTGCATAATTATAAAGTCTTGTTGGAAAATTCCTTGAGAATTTTTCCACTAAACATTTTTAAAAAGTAAACTAATCCTAAAATTCACTGAAAAAGAAAATTTCTAATTCAAGATTTAATTGAATTTGAATTTAATCTAATAACTGATACCCTTATCATTTTATTGTTTTGAATACCCTTAAAAACTTTTCACTGACAAAATTAGTTTCGTAACTTCATTAAAATTTGAACTTCATAGCCAGGTGTATCCAATCGTGAGAAAATGTTTTTAAGATGGCCAGATGCAAGTTGTTCTTTTTGAATCTCCTCTGAAGATTCATCATGGGCACCTAAAAACAACTCACAAATGATCTGAAAACAAAGATTGTTCAACATTGTTGTTCAGGGGAAGGATACAAAAAGTTGTCTCAGTGATTTAAACTGTCAGTTTCCACTGTGAGGAACATAGGAAGGGAATGGAAGACCACAGGGACAGAAATGACAGGCCAAGAAAAATATCAGAGAGGCAGAGAAGAAGAATGGTGAGGATGATCAAGGACAACCCACAGACCACCTCCAAAGACCTGCAGCATCATCTTGCTGCAGATGGTGTCACTGTGCATCGTTCACCAATTCAGCGCACTTTGCAGCTGCATGGGAGAGTGATGCAACGGAAGCCTTTTCTGCAAGCAGGCCAAAAACAGAATCACTTGGTGCACATTTGGACAAGCCAGCTTCATTTTGGAATATGGTCCTGTGGACTAATAAAAAAAGATAAGAGTTGTTTGGTAATAAAAAAGGCATTATGCATGGTGGCAAAAAAAATGCGGCGTTCCAAGAAAAACACTTGCTACCCACTGTAAAATACGGTGGAGGTTCCATCATGCTTTGGGGCTGCGTTGCCAATGCTGGCACTGGGAATCTTGTGAAAGATGATAGTGGCATGGATTCCACTCAAGATCAGCAGATTTATGAGAATAAAGTTCAAGAATCAGTTACGAAGTTGAAGTTAACGCCGGGGATGGATATTTCAGCAGGACAATGATCCAAAACACAGCTCCATATTTACTCAGGCATTCATGCACAGATATAATTACAATGTTCTGGAATGGTCATCCTAATCACCAGACCTGAATATCATTGAACATCTGTAGAGTAGAGTAGAGTAGCAAAGCAATATGTATAAAAAAGAAAATACCAGCTAAGGATGTACACATAGACTACTTACACATTCATAACGTCTCTAATAAAAAACCAAAACAACACTAAAACAACAATCAGAATCAATCTAATATTTTCATCTAAATGTTTGATGGAAGTGGGTATGAAAGAGTAAAACAGTTCAGTTTGTTTTTTGGGATTCTGAACCTTCTGAACCATCTTTGATTTGGACTGTGTGGAGAGACTGCCGAACACGGCGTCATCCCATACCTGATAACACTCTCCCTCGCTGCCTGATTTTTTTTTTTTCCTTTGTGAATGGGAAGATGTTTACATGCCCTTGACCAGATTTGATTAGAGTTTGATTTATAAGTTAACTCCGCTGCTTGTGAGCAGAAGATGCTGCTGCTGTGATTGGCTAAAAAATAGACATGGGAGGCAGCTACCCAATCATCTCGAAGAATTGTACTGAATGTCCCTCCCTTTTGTGAACACTTTCTACATGAGGCTTTCCAGATCAATTTGTATAGTCCAATTTGAACTCTACACTGTATCAATATGGTCTATAAGATGTTGCCTACTGTTGACATCCCAAGTATAATTAATTTATTTCAGTTTAGTCATAAATATATTAATGACTTGACTCAGTGGAGGAAGTAGCTGAGAGGAGGATGCTGTCCACGCTTACATCCCATCATGGACAACACCTTCCACCTTCTGCACAAGACTGTAGAGGAGCTGAGCAGCTCCTTTAGTGAAAGACTCTTTAGTGACACCCTCTTTATAAAAAGGAGCGCTGCAGGTCATTCATCCCTGCTGCAACCAGACTTTACAATGCAATAACTAACTAACAATAACTATTTAATACCCTGTGCAATAACTATATATATATATATATATATATATATATATATATATATATATATATATATATAGCACCTTCTTTCTTCTATTGAGCCTTCTATATAGCCTTGTCTTAATTTTATTTTGTAGCTTTTTTTGTTTGACCACAAGAGGGCGCCATTGTACTTTTTTTTTTTTTTTTTTTTTTTACAGCAAGATGGTAAATCAGGTTAGCTACTTTATGCCTTTGCTTTCCGGTTGGTATTTTTAGTTCTAAAAATTGAAGCCCCACACTTTTTGATTTAGTAGAGTATATCAAACATTTGGTGTATAAAACGATTCAACCCTATATTAACGATAATTGAACATTAACTGTCAACTTCTCCGTCGTTGATGTAAAAAACCGAATTTCTCAGGTTTTATTTTGAAAATCCAGAACGGAAATAATTTCCGTCAGCTTGACGGAGGTTGGTTGGGTCACGCTGCAGCCCCAGCCGGATGTTTTGTTGAGTCCAACCCTCGCCGAAGATGGGAGGATTCGGTGGTTTTACCTCCGAGCTGCCTCAGCCGCGTACCTGACCGGGTAAGTGGCCGAATTAGGCGGGAGCCGAGCGGGTGTGTTAACCGGAGGAGCTGCGTGGTGAAGCGGCAGGGAGCTGGAAGGGAGGTCGTGACGGTGTTGGGTTTCTGCGGTGGCCGTGCGCGCTGCTGCGCGCTCCCTTCCCAGAAACCTCTCATTTCTGGATAGTGGAGGACATCCTGGGGAGGGAGGCTGAAGGGCTGCATCTATTTAAACTACATATTGCTAAATAAATAAGCGATGAGGCAGAGAGGATGATAGGGAGAGAGGAGGCCAAGCTTCCACCTGTGGGGGTTATAGGAGGCATCCACCTGTTTGGTGTATATATATATATATATATATATATATATATATATATATATATATATATATATATATATATATATATATATATATATAAATATATATATATATATATATATAAACCTTAAGCCCTTGAAAGATATAAGTTACACTGATTGAAATTGGAGCTTTTAGTGCTGCTTTCTGTGCAGCATTCAGGGTTTAGGAAGCTCACAACAAAAGATTGCATTCTGCTGCTTGATGCATGCATGTTAGGATTTGCTTAAACCTATAGCCTCATATTCATAAAGTGTATTTTTTTCTCTGCTAATTTGACTTCTAGGTCACTTTTAAAGATTTGAATATTTACAAGTTCCAGATAATAAAATATTGAGAGAGATGTGAGCCAATTCAAAGCATCTCAGAAATAGCACATTTAACTTGTTTAACTACTTTTTTTTTTGTAGTCTTAAAAAAAAAAAAAAAAATACATATATATATATATATATATATATATATATATATATATATATAGGTAAAATGTTAAAGGCTGAAACAATTAATCGGATTCATCCATTATTGAAATAATCGTCAACTAACTTCAACTTAGACTTATTTTTTTTTATTTTGGACACACAAGTAGGCTATAAACAAAAAGAAATTTAGTTGAGAACAGCTCTCTATGCAATTTCATTTTTTTAAAGTGCAGCCTTAAAAAAGGAAAAAAATGCATAACTAATTTATAAATACATTAAAATTACATTTCTTTAAATACATTTTTAATTAAATTAAAAGAAATACATAAATGTATACATTAAAACTAATTTAGTACTCGATTAATCGTTGACTGGAGCATAGAGACTCTAAAAAGTGCATTTAGCTGACAGAGCGACCCACTTAGAGCATTAATTAAACAAAAATTAAAATAAATAAAAAGTTTGAGTTTCACCTGGTTTAATTTTGAAAAAAAAAAAGTCTTCTTTAAGACTGCAATTCTGTTGATTAATCGAATTGCAAAATAATTGTTGCAGAACTAAAAATGTTTTAAATTGTGTTCATATTTGAGGAAACCTCCGCCTCCATCTGGGCTCATTAATAAAAAGCAAAGGTCCTGCAGCAGTCGCTGGGGGAGCAGCACACCTGTTGGTCAGGACAGATGGCCTGAGCCTCTCCTGCTCTGACCAACTGTTTGCAAAAAGCTGGTGGATCGCTGCATCCTGCTCTTCCTTATCTGACACTTTGAGCAGATTTGGGAAGACATTTGATCGGGAAAAGGTCATGCGTTTAAATTCGGTGCTTTGTCGCATGATTTATGGATATATAGTTGACAAAATGACAAAAAGGACTTTAGGATTTCAGGTGTGGTTTGTGGACTTCTAAGAATGCTGCTCAGTTTGTGACACTGGAAAAAAGGTCCTCACTTAGCTGAACTGAACTTAGCTGAACTTAGCTGGAAGTACCAGGTTCTTTCTAAAGGAAAGCATTTAAAGCATTTAAATCATGATCTATTTGAAAAACAAAAGAAAAAAAAAACTCCAAAACAATCTCATCAAGCTGCTAGATATCAGCCAAGAGGAGAGATTTCTATTCTTTAGAAATCGTCTTGTAGAGATGCACCGATCTAATACTTATACTAGTACCCTTCGTGGGATAGTGTATATATATCTATATATATATATATATATTTTTTTTTAGATATTATGCACAACAATAGTTACAGCGATCTACATCAAGTTTCACTCGGCTACTATATTTAATATTAAAACATCTGTTTGCAGTGCACTTTTTTTTTTCTATTTGACCTATTTGACCTTTATTTAAGGTCAAATATGTCCCTTTTTCAAGGGAGTCCTGGCCAAGAGGCAGCAAAGTTCCATAATAAACAGAGATATGTTAAATTAAATGACAGGTACATGAAAAAACATATCAAGTGAAACAATTATAGATAATTGAGGCTGCTTCAAATTCTTTTACTTTGAACTTAAAAGCATTTCAAGATATAAAACTACAGTTTCTCTGTAAAAACTTCCACGCACAAGGAGCTGCTGTAGCTAAAGGCTTTCTTCCCTAGTTCTGCATAGACGTGTTATTTATATATTTTTTTGCCCCTAATGTAAACTTTATTTATTGATAAATAATATTAAATAACTTTATATCAGTGTTTAATTTCTTACCCTTTTTTTTAGCCTTTTGCCAATACACCCAGCACAGGAACTAGTTACCGGTGATGTTTTATTGTTTAAACTCTGCTGCTGAGGTGCCTAAGGTCCTTGGCTACCATAAAGTGTTTCAGATAGCTGTTATTAATCACTTGTTGCAGCAAGGCGGCTTTTTGCTTTCTAGATTTTGGCTGTGTTGTTTTGCCGCTATATTAAAGTGAATTGGATGCGCAGTGGGCGTCATGGAAACCAAAAGCAGCAAAGATTAGCGTTTCCCAGTCATCTGGCTGAAGTGTGCCACAACAATGCAGAACAGGAGCATAAACTTTCTGAGCCCCTTTACTCCCCACAGTATGTTTCTCTTCTCCCCTCCTGCACTCTCTTAAAGGACCAGCGTGCCCCCCCCTCCAGCCTGCAGCAGAACCACCCCCCAGTCTGAAACAATGAGAGAAGGGTGACTGTGGCGCTCCGCAGCCAGGTGTTCTCCATTGCCGCCCCGGGCCGTAATAGCAGCCGCCCTCACGCTGCAGCTGCCCTCCCCAGCTTCCCTTTGTGTGGCTCCATTGTTAAGTGGCCCACCCCCTCGTTGATTCATCGGCCACACAGGGGAAGCCCTTTCAGGCTAGGGACAGGAGTGTGTGTGTGCTGGAGACTACGCGTGCCTTAGGGAAGCAGGCATCTGCCCAGAGCCACTCCCCTCCTCCTCCGCCTCATGTCTCGGTGTAGGTCTGCTGCTCTCTGATTGGCGAAGAAGCTCCCACTTCAAAACCAAAAGAAAAAAACGGCAGACATTGTTATTCCATCTGTCCTGGCCGCTCATTGTCCAACCTGCCTGCTTCTTGCTCTGGAAGACACTTTGCACGCATGGAGCCGCCGTGCAGACTTTGGCTCCCGATTCCAAGCCCGTTTCACCTGTAGCGTTTTTCTCCTCTGCTTAGCGAAGATTAAAAATATGTGGAAATGAGACCCTCACATCTTGCTGGCTCCGGTGAGTGAGATGAGCCCCCACCTTTCTGCTGGTAATCTTAAATATGTTCTCATGGATGCTGATTTTGTAGAATAGTGAAGATGTGTGCATGACAATTCAACCAAATGCTGCAAAAGTTAGAAACCGATTTTGGTTGTTTTTTCTGGTTACAATCAAAAATGATGCAGCCTTCTTTCAGCCAGCTGATCATGTGTTGAGCAACACTTATAGAATAACCTTGAACTGTAACAATGGTATGATGGAAACAGTTTAGTAGGTTTCAAGCCCAGAGGCGTGGACTCTGCCCAGTAATTCTCATTCCTTCTTTCTGAGTCAGTTTCTCAGCGTTAAATATGCAGAGTCAAAGAATTTTGACTCTTTTAGAGTTAATAAAACAACAACTAGAGTAAGATATACATTATGTAGAGAGTTAATTTAACACTAATTCAGAGTGAGACCAAATTTACTGTGAGTTTATGAGTTACTGGTAGGTTTTCTACGTTGTTTTCCTGCTGCAGGGAACTTATTTTTCTTTCACTGAGGGTTCTGCATTCTCCTCAAACACTCTTAGTAGAAGTCATGGTGCGGTAAACTTTCCCCACATCATGGCACTTCCATCTCCATGCTTAGCTTTAGTTAGACCTTCCTGTTTTCTCCTTCTGATTGTGCAGACAGCTTAATTGTTGAATGTTCTGTTGAAACATTTTAGGATTTCTAGAGACTCCTGGCATGTTGAAGTTCGCCCTAGGGGCCAATCTGACACATCTATATAACATTTAGATTCTTTATTCTGCCTGTATTGTTTAAAACTTTGTAATAAATATTCTTATCTTGAAATATCTTGCAAAACATCGTCGCTTTACATGACTTAAAGCTCCAGTAAATGAGATCAGTGAGCTGAAATAAACGGTTTCTGCAAGCCTTGCATGGATCTTTATCTGAAAATAAAGGCCAGTGTTGCCTTAAAAAAAAAAAAAACAATGAAAGTAAGTGGCATTAGTCTGGTCAGGGAATATATAAATCCCTCCCAGCTTAGTGAACACTCTTCCTACAAATGTCTGACTGAGGCTGTTTATTTATCCAGAACATTTCAGTAGAGCAACAGAAAATATTTTATAAGTGCTGCACATGAAAAAACATACAAATAAAAGCACATTGCAGTGGCAAACAAAAAATTCAATGATTAATAAACACGAATATATATATATATATCTATATAGACAGAGGTCACTCTTGAGTAGATTTGTCTTTAAAATCGATTTGATTCAACATAAGGTTTTAGGGCTTTTACTGCTTCCAGATTATTGGAGCATTAGAACTAAAAGCTGCTTCTTCATGATCTGTTTCTGGGTATTCAGATTAGATTTAATCCAGAAGACCATAGAGGTATGTAATGTATTCTAGAGCTCAGCTGTTCAGTCATTTCTACACTAACAGAATAATTTTAAAGTTTGTTCTGTGAGATACAGGAAACCACTGTAAGAATTATAGAACTTGGTTGATGAGCTCTACTTTCTTCTTTTTTTTTTTCCCCAGAGGGAAACTGTCAGTACACTGTCACAAGTACAGAGAGTCACAAGTGCTGCACTCTCTACATTTATCCCATCCCCTTGGGGAGCAGTGGGCTGCCATTGTTTGACGCCTGAGAAGCAGTGTGGGGTTAAGGGTCTTGCTCAGGGACCCAGAGTGCAGAATTTGGGGATCGAACCGGGTACTTGCAAACTTCTCAGAGCACAAGCGCGCTGCTCAAACCACTAGGCCAACACTCCCTAGTGAGGAGGCATATCTGGGACACAAGTAGCAGCATTCTAGATCAGCTGTGTTCAGAGCGAACGCTGTGTCCGCAGGTAGTTTTCAGATGCACAGTGTTTACACCCTGGACCATGTGCTCACTATATAAAAAAAACAAATGTAGATTAAGAAAAGATCATGTTTCAGAGATATTAAAAATAATTTTTTAGGTCACCAAGAGGTCAACTATCCCCCATTAAGCTCCAGAAGAATCAAAATGATCACCTTACCGTAAATCCTCTAATATAGGATTGGGCCTTTATTTCACTCAGGTGCATCTTGGTCCAAAACATTGTTGGAAGGAGGCCAGAATTGGAGGCAGGCCTCTAATTCTATTTGAGCAAAACAGACTACGAGTGGAATGAATAAAAAAATTAAAATACTAGGTTAATTTATTGAAAAAGTACAGTTACCATAACGATATACAGAACATTATCAACAAATACTAGTAATTCAGACATCTTCAAGCAGCTTGCAGGCAAATTTTCTGGAATCTGACTTGCAAAACAAAGTTTAAAAAAAATGGGACAAAAACTGTTCTGCCATCAGAGCGACATTTTTTTTTGTTTTAGGCTAAGTGGAAGTAGGCGACAGTTATCATATATCTCAAGGGGAATTCAGAACAATGAAGGCCAACTAAATTCTGTAATTTTGACGCTGTTCACCACAAAGCAAACGTAGTGCATTGTAAACATTTTCCATGGTGATAATTATTCATAACAAAAGACAACTTAGAGGTTTAATCACCTAGCCGCTCACTCAAATTGTCTTGTTTAGTTTGAAGTAAAACAAAACCAAAAAGAAATTCTCCAATTCTGTTTAATCCTCCACAATTTCCCCCTGCTCTTCATCTCGCCCCATAATCTCATCACTTGTGGATCAGGACGATTGGGACGACTACGATCTCTGTGTAAGCATAGGAATTCCCATGCTAATGGCTTGGATTCGTTAGCAAACACTGCCCCCTGTGGTAGTTGTTAATATCACAAGTTGTTGAGGACTGCCCAGAAACATTGTTGGTTCTAATTATAGCCCCGGCCTGTATAAGAGTCCGGCCATTATTTACCTCCACCGATAGCGAGACAGGTCATTATTAGAGACCCGGCCGCTAATGGAATACAGGCCAATATTAGAGGATTTACGGTAATTCATTCATGCAGTAAAAATACTGTTTGGGCTGATTAGTTTTTTAGGATAGAATAAGTTTTAATTATGGCTGATGACGTCAACATCCCAGCAGATGTTAGTCCTTGGCTCGTTTTTGCATAACATCACTTGTCATTCCTGTGCTGTTATTGAGTATAAAAGTGGGGATGTTTACCTTATTTAGTGGCCGGAATGATTGTTTAATATTTAGTTAATCGCCAGCTTCCCACAGTCTTTGGACAACTTGCAACCCATGTCATTTCCTGTCAAGATCTCCCTTTTTTTTTATTTCACAATAAAAGCACAGGTGAAACTTAACTTTAAGCACTGCTGCAAAATTGTTTCCTATGAAAAACCTTGGAATCACTTTGGGGAGACCATAATTTTTTGGAAAAGCCCCAAAGCTCTGAAAAAAAGATTTAACTTTTGTTATTCCATCCTCTGATTTGGTCAGATTCGGCGGGACTTCCTAGTAAACACAGAGAGCGCCGATGCTGGGCAGTGTGCAGTGACAGACCATGCTGGAGGCGATTAAAAGTTCTTCTAGGACTAAATTAAAAAAGTTTTTTTTTAAAAGAACAAAAAAAATCTTGAGAGCATTCCTCATTTCCACCCTTTTAAAATTTCTCTGTATACCATTTTAAGTGAAAAAAGCTTCGCCTACAAGTGGTTCCTGATTGGCTGCTGTGTCGTGAATGTATAGTTCAGCTCATTTCAGCGTCAGCGATCACGGCTCCGTTCTCTCCGTGCCGTGCTGCTGTTTAACAACACCTCAGCTCTATCTAGTTGCATGAGAACGCACCATTAGGCAGACCTGTATTGAAACAAAGCCTAATTTATGCCTTTTTTTTTTTTTTTTTTTACATCTACTGGAGCATATTTAGTTACTTTAACAAAACCGTTTCATATTAGCAGGATAGGGACATTACTCATTTAATCCTGGAGATGTTTCTTAGGAGAAAGAAGGCCGACTTTTTTACTGTCCTAATGTTCCTCTGAAGGTTCAGGTCTAATTGGTGGTTTCCTAACTGAAGCTGTGCTAACATTTGAACACCTCATTAGGTCCAATAAAGAAGATTTTAGCATGACCATAAATTGATTTCTTTCATGCATTTGTCTAGGACCAGCCAGACAACACTAGACTAGAAAAAGAGGAAGTGTCAAGAACAAGGCGAACCCATAGAGACATAAACTGGAACAGATAAAATGGTTTGACACTTTTTAGTCTGGGTGCACAGAATCAAGTTTTCTGATGGATAGTTATGGATATCGTTGATTTTTGATTCAGATTAGGATCAAAGATTGTTATTGGGTCTGTTTGTGCTAAATTAAAGGATGATATTTGGTCACAATAAACCACATGATTTGATATAGTTAGGGAAAAAATATTGTTTTTACTGCATAATTCAACAGTTACTAACTAATGAAACAAAGTTGGAGATAATTACTAAAAGTGGAGTAATTGTTACATCTTAAGTGGTAGGAATGCTAAATGTATTGTTAATGTAATGTTAAAAATGTGGATAAAATAGTCTATTTTTTTAAACGTGTAAAATAGATTTCGTTTCTTTTTTTCTTTCTTTAGTCCAACTGTTTTTAATGTTCTTTTTTTGTTTCTGCATTTTTTATTTTATTTTATAAATTTTTTTCCTACTTGCTTTAATTCTGTTTTATTTTCCTATATTTTAATCACGTCAAGCACTTTGCATTGTCTTTGTACTGAATTGTGCTATACAAATAAATTAGCCTTGCCTTGAAATTACACAATGTTTTCAGTACATGGAAAAGGACCAGCCAGCCCCTCCCCCAGCTGTTGCTAAACTGTTTTTTTTTTTTTACTTTTCTCTGGATTTTTAATGTAGAAGCTCATTTTGAACAAACTATGCAGACATGCTGCCTGTTTCAGTTCCCCTTGCTGTAGTTTTAGTCTGAACTACAACTGAATAAAAAATATTCATAAAACATACAGTAAATGTTCACAGGCTTTAGTGTCCAATTTTTAAGCATTTTTGCTAAATGAAATATGATTCAGGGGTTTTTAACAAATAGCTGCTTTAAAATTGATCTTTTATTGAGTCATTTAAACGCAGATCAGGAGATCAGTGTCATAACTGATGGGTTAAGGTTCAGTAAATTGATACAGTAAATAATTTTTTGAATTTTTCCACCCAATTTAGGAGACGTTTATATATTTTTAAGAAATCCAAAATTTGACATTTAATGTAAGGGTAGAGAGGAGTGTTAGGGCGAGTCTGGGTGAACAGGAGACCCCAGGAGAGAAAACGACTCAGCAGACATCTGTTGCCCATCTCCATCTCCACCCCCAGCCGACTGTCCTCTTTTTTTTTACACTAACCTATGCACGGTGGTGGCCATGCAGGCACTGATGCTCTACCAGACAAGAGCCCCCTCCCCTCTCCTGAAAAACCGCCTTTTTAAACCCTCTCCCCCCTCCTCCACACCGTCTCTGCACAAGGCTGCGTTACATATTCATCAGTGGCTCCATCAAAGCCAGCAGCGCTGACGTTTGAAAGATGCAACCACCCAGAGATGAAGTCCTGCCTTGGTGTTGGCCCGTTTGGAGAGAAGAGGCGGGGAGGTGGGGGGAGTCGTCTGAGGCTTTTATAATGCGGTGAAAGCTTGGAACACATAATGGATGACTTTTTAATATCTGACAGTGAAAAGATCCAAATAAGAAGCTTTAATAGTCTGGTTGGATTAGGTTTGGGTTGGCTTTAATACTTTATCTGAAAAGGTTGTTATAAAATCCAACTATTGCTGTTTTAAATTATTATTTTACTAGTGTTAAAAATTACAGTTACTCTTGAATATGATGCAGCTGGTCTTTGTCGTCCATTTTCTGCAGATTTAGAGTAAATTTAGTTGTTAAAGTCGGGACTGATGCTCAAAGCTGATAGATTTGGATTTATTAGAGGTTTATCTTTTCAGATAAGCAGCTTTTAAGATTTGAAATGTGTCATGAAATCCTTTAGTCCTGCAAATCGATATGGGCAGAGTGCAGCATGGTTTAAATAATTTAGACTTGGGTATCTGGTTTACATTTTAACCCTAACAAATACTTTTGCAGTGAAACTCATCCTTAAATGTGTGGATGGTAGTTTTATGCCCTGTGTATTTGCAGCTGCAGGATTTGCTGCCTTGATGTTTCAATGCTGCTTGCATCCTTGAGTCTGAGGGCCGCTGGGAGAAGGGTATCTCGTCAGCAGGAGAAAGACAGAAAAAAAAAACGACCTACCTTTTTTATTTTTTAACAAAACCTATGAGTCACCTTCTGAGGTAGATCTTGTTTATGTGCTCATGGACGCCCACAGTGGTAAATGCCAAGGCCCTGATCCCATCCACTGCAGCTCTATTGTTGTCAGTGAGGCACACTTAAGCCCCGCTCGTCCCCCATATAGGACCCTTTTTTTTTTTTTTTTTGGACGAGTAGCCGGTTGAACGCTCCTGTCTTGGCATGCTTTCAACAGCTGTAGCTTAGCAACAGTAGCCTGGCAGCTCCTGTTTCATAAAATGCGCTCCACCCTGCCCCTGGCCCCCCTCCCAGTGCCTCTAAGTCACTTCACCTTTCCTCATATTGCTGTCCAGCTCATGTTTGACTTATTCTCAGGAGTGCAATACAAAAATAAAACACAAAAAGAAAACAGGTTTTTCTACCTTATCTTACCTGCACAAACTGTGAAACAAAGAAAAGCAGGGATTGACTGTCTCAACAAACAGAAGAGTACCCTTTTTTTGTGGTTTTAACAAAAAAGTACCTCCAGTTAATACATATCACATAATACGGTGCATGTTATTGAAAGGAGTACTAAAAATTAAGCATGTTTTGATAGTTTTCCATAAACTTAAAAGCTCTAAGCTTGCAGCTTTAGTTTTTAAAAATGTTATAATATATGCTTACATTGCCACATGTTCAAAAACAGGGATGGTAAACATTAAGATGCACCAATCAGAGTTCAGAGCGTTAGGATTCACCAATCAGAGCTCAGAACATTGATAGGCACCATTAAGAGCTCAGAATGTTGTTAAGGTGCACCAATCCGAGCTCAGAACATTAAGACGCACCAATCCGAGCTCAGAACATCAAGACGCACCAATCAGAGCTCAGAATGTTGTTAAGACGCACCAATCAGACCTCAGAATGTTGTTAAGACGCACCAATCAGAGCTCAGAATGTTGTTAAGATGCACCAATCAGAGCTCAGAATGTTGTTAAGACACACTAATCAGAGCTCAGAATGTTAAGATGCACCAATCAGAGCTCAGAATGTTGTTAAGACGCACCAATCAGAGCTCAGAATGTTGTTAAGACGCACCAATCAGAGCTCAGAATGTTGTTAAGACGCACCAATCAGAGCTCAGAATGTTGTTAAGATGCACCAATCAGAGCTCAGAATGTTGTTAAGATGCACCAATCAGAGCTCAGAATGTTGTTAAGATGCACCAATCAGAGCTCAGAATGTTGTTAAGACGCACCAATCAGAGCTCAGAATGTTGTTAAGACACACTAATCAGAGCTCAGAATGTTGTTAAGACGCACCAATCAGAGCTTAGAATGTTAAGATGCACCAATCAGAGCTCAGAATGTTGTTAAGACGCACCAATCAGACCTCAGAATGTTGTTAAGATGCACCAATCAGAGCTCAGAATGTTGTTAAGACGCACCAATCAGAGCTCAGAATGTTGTTAAGATGCACCAATGAGAGCTCAGAATGTTGTTAAGACGCACCAATCAGAGCTCAGAATGTTGTTAAGAAGCACCAATCAGAGCTCAGAATGTTGTTAAGACGCACCAATCAGAGCTCAGAATGTTGTTAAGATGCACCAATCAGAGCTCAGAATGTTGTTAAGACGCACCAATGAGAGCTCAGAATGTTGTTAAGACGCACCAATCAGAGCTCAGAATGTTGTTAAGAAGCACCAATCAGAGCTCAGAATGTTGTTAAGACGCACCAATCAGAGCTCAGAATGTTGTTAAGATGCACCAATCAGAGCTCAGAATGTTGTTAAGACGCACCAATCAGAGCTCAGAATGTTGTTAAGACGCACCAATCAGAGCTCAGAATGTTGTTAAGACGCACCAATCAGAGCTCAGAATGTTGTTAAGACGCACCAATCAGAGCTCAGAATGTTGTTAAGACGCACCAATCAGAGCTCAGAATGTTGTTAAGACGCACCAATCAGAGCTCAGAATGTTGTTAAGATGCACCAATCAGAGCTCAGAATGTTGTTAAGACGCACCAATCAGAGCTCCGGTTCGAATCCGGCCTGTGGTCCTTTCCCGTGTGTCTCTCCCCCTCTCATACCCCCTTTCCTGTCCATAAAAACAAGCCACTACTGCCGTAAAAAAAAAAAAAAACGTTGTTACACTGCACCAATCAGAGTGTTAAGATGCACCAATCAGAGCTCAGAACATTTAAGGCGGGCTTACACTGCGATTTTTGTGCCATTTTTGGGCAGACTTTTCAGTCGTGAAAGTTGTGCAAGCCTGATCGTGCTTCGTGTAGTGTTCAGGGGGTAACAAGGGGCGATCAGCCTCTCACAACCACCTCCCGATCAAGAATAGTGAGGTCGGGATAAAATCAAACACGTTTATTTTTCAGTCGACCGTCGTGTGCAAATGGCTCAGGTTGGCATGCCAAACAAGGATTCTTCTTCTTCCTGTCAGATGAAAACACAGCAGCATGGCAGGGTGCGGGTGAAATGGAATTCTTTCTGTAAAATTTCTTTTCTTCTGTCTTTGTCCAAATATGTCGTCGCCTTTTCTTTTTAAGACTTTCACTCCAAAATTGCCAAGGCGGCTCATTTCACTGTAGTGAGCTTTATACTCATTTTCTACTGGTTTGGTTTCCGAATAGATGAGTCCCTGTAGTGCCATCTCTCTCTGGGGCTGAGCCCGATGTGGTTTTTAGACGTGCAGTGTGAGCAGGTGGATTGGATCAGAGCGTCGGGCCTCACGTGCATCATGAGCTGTGAACTCACACTGTACGATGAGGTCGTATACTGCAACTAATAAATAATTTTGAGAATTAATCTGTTGTTAATTTTTTCTATTAACAACTGAAATGCAAAACGTTCCGTAAAGATTTTTTACCACGAACCCATCAAACAGTTTTACCGTTGCTTTAATCAAATTGCTGCAGAGCTGTAACAGGATAACCCCCCCACATGATATCAGATCACCTTAGTGTGCGAGGGAGCATATGGTTAATAATAGGTTATATTGGGTTAAATCAAGTGTGTGTGTCTGTGTGGGGGGGGGGTGATAACGGCTGGATGTCTTGTTTTAGATAAACGGTTCCTCTGTAGATTGATGCGCCGTGGCGTGGCGCTTTTTAAAACACACTGAGGTCAGCTTCTGTTTGGGTGGGGGAGTCCATTAATCAGAGTTAGAGGCCCCCGTGGTTCTTTGTGTCTGTTAGGAGAGTAGGTGGTGGTGGGGGGGAGGTTTCGCGCCAATGCGGTCAGTCAGAGCCATAGTGAATTACATCATATATTTACTGGAATGGAAAAACGAGAGTAATTTATGGTGAACAAAAGCGACGTAAAGGCAGCTCCTGTGACAGATGTCACCCAGAGCCTCATAGAAGTTCAAGCAGGGATTTACCCACTTACTCTGTCAGCTCAGGATGCAGAACAATGACATTCAAAGCCCTAAATGTGACTTTAGCTGATGAGCTTCTCTCCGTCTCCTCCTTCAGGCTCAGATGAGTGGAGCTTTGTGAAAGAGCGCTGCTCCGCCCGGTGTGCTGGATGTCTTTGACGGATCCATGGGCCAGAAGGACCATGTGGAGGCGGGAACGGGCCACATCCTGGATCTGGGGCCGGACCTGGAGTATCTCCACGTAGCCGGGGCCGACCGGCAGGCTGGCGACGTCGACGAACCCCCTGCTATGGATGAGCAGGGGGAGAGCTTCACCAAAAAGGCTACGCTTGGTTCTCCTCCGGCGACAACGCCAGAGGAGAGCGGCGAGCGTGATGGAGAGGGGAGGCCGACGCCTGTGGAAGACGCAGACGGAGGGGAGGTCACGCACACCTTCAGCAAAAACAGCCACCAGCCGCTGTGCCGCACGCCGTGTGTGGATTTGGGGACAGAAGGACCTCCGGAGTCTCCGTCTGATCTCTCAGGAGAACCCGAGCATGAATCGCCCGAACCCCCAGCCGACCCCACGGCATCAGAACCAGAGCCCACGCCGGGAGGGAAGGACTACCAGACCAAGCTGGAGTTTGCCTTAAAACTGGGCTACTCTGAGGTGACCGTGCGTCAGGTGCTGTCCAAGCTGGGACCCGACACCCTCATCAACGACATACTGGGCGAACTGGTCAAACTGGGCACCAAGTCGGACGGCGAGCAGCCAGCGTCAGCCTTGACCTCTACCTCATCATCTTCATCATCGTCGTCTTGCGGCTGCTCTGATGTGCCGGAGAGGTCGGACTCGCCGTTACCCTCAGAATCTCTCTGCGACCAGGACAACCTGCGGCCGATCGTGGTGGACGGCAGCAACGTGGCCATGAGGTGAGGTGGAGCACTATGAAACATCTCATCCCCGGACATCCTTCATGACTTTTCCAACATCTCTTGAAATAAATCACTGATTCCTAAAGGTGCGGTCGTGACCCCATTTGCGACCAGATAATTAAACTAAATAATACAAAAACAGATTAAATTGTTAAAAGATGTAGGACTAAAACTCTAGAAATAAAAACTACAATTGATTCTTCTTCCTACAAATAAAATACAATTCAAGAACACATTGTTTCTTTATGACATATGTATTACATTTTGCCACTTGCAATTCATTTAAAATGCATAATGAATTTATTTTCTATATTCCATTTTTTGTATTTATTTATGTCAGTTTGCCAAAAGTATCTTTTTAGATTAATAGTTGCATTTCAAATGTTGTTCTTTAGTGAAAATGTCACTTTATGGTACTGTACAAAGTTATTATTTTACATGTTTTTACTAAATCCAAGTGAATAATTAAACAAATAAACAGCTGACCTTTTAAATAAACAAGACAAACTAGCTCCCAATGTATCCAATGTATCAATCAATTACTAAAGTTGTTGCCCTATAACAATATTTGTAAGAATATAATTTATAATCATTTATATTATCAAACCCATTGTTTATTACGGTATATAATCCCAGAGCACATTACACCAGGCTGTATTTGGAGGGTATAGTTGGACTGATGCAGGTTTATTATTATTATATTATTGGATAAATCTAAAGCGATTTGACTGTTTTAGAAAAGAAAATCTCTAAAAAGTCTCTAAAAACATAATTATTGGAATAGAGTTATGATTAATGAATAAAACAAGCAAATGGAAGAAGTATAAAACACAAAATGCATTGCTGTGTCAGCGATGCAGCATCTGTTAAAGGTCTAAAAGAAATTATGTCCTTTAGAAGTTTTATTTGTTTTTTTTTTCTTCCGAAATGTGAGGCTTAAGCTTAAGACATGACTTTATCAACCTTTACTTGACTCTAAAGGCTCTGATCAAAACTATTACTTGAAATTAAGATCTTATCAGACTCTGTTGAAATCTTATTTTTCTGTGTTGTTCCAATTTGAAACACTAGGTGTCACTATTTTAACTCCTTTTTAGGCTAAAAGGTTAGTTATATCCTGATTCTCTGAGGATAAAGCATTTAATTCACAGTGAAACCAACCAACCTTTCTAAAAGGTTCCTTACTTATTTCCTTTTTTGTTTCAATACTTTATCTACTCGGGAAGGATAAAAAAAAAAATAAAGAAACTGCTGCTCTTTTAAGGCTTTGTTTGTTATTGATAAAAGTTAGTTATGTCAGATAAAATGACCCCATCTGTCTGAGGGTATACAAATTATGTTTTTTTTTTGTTTTTTTTACTTTACATGCATAATTATTTTGTCCAAGTATCTGAATGTATCTAATGTGAATTTTGAACAATTAATTATTAAAAAACTAATAAAAGTAGCAGAGCAGTTAAAGATTTTACTCAAGTCAAAGCAGCTTTTCTGCAGAATGTTACTTAAGTGAAGTTAAAATATAAGTACCTATACAGTCTATTACACATATAGAAATATATTTCCTGTTAATGGCACTAAAATCTATATCTTCAACAATTTATTGGAATATAGTGTAAAATTCAGCTTGATTAAAAGCAGAACTCACGAATACTCAAGGGGATTTTTGTCACAGGAAAACAGGCAAGAAGTGTTACATTATAATTCGAAAGAAAAAATATCCAACCACTTAGTAGGATTATTTTGATTTTGTTAGCAAACAAAGATTTATTAAAAAATAATAATAAAAAATCGCACTATTACCAAGAATCCAAAGTTTCATTCAATAATATTTCAATATAAATAGATCAATAACCCAAAAACCTTCACAACCATTTTATAAGTAAACTCAAAATCTCAATTTATATTTGCTAAAAGGAAACAAAAACAACCCTAATAACTGAAAGTCCAAAACTGTCCGTTCTTTTTATTTTTATTAATAATGTCCTAACAGGAGTTCCATATGTTCCGAATTTAAAGTAAAATCCTGGAAGCGTTTAAGCCCAAAGTCCGTTCCAAAACGAAAAGTCCGAACGACAACGAAGGGATAGTTAATGGGGGACGTCTGGTGGGTAGGAGGTCACATTTAGTGTCATTAGATGGATTTATAACGTGGTGCCTCTCCTGTACCGTACAGCCACGGGAACAAAGAGGTGTTTTCCTGCCAGGGCATCCAGCTGGCTGTAGACTGGTTCCTGGAGCGTGGCCATCAGGACATCACGGTTTTTGTACCTGCTTGGAGGAAAGAGCAGTCCCGCCCCGACGCTCCGATAACAGGTCAGTAAAAATACTTTAAAAGAACTCCTACATTTATATTGTGACCTTTGCTTTAATCTTCCCTTAACGACTATCCCTTTCAGACCAGGAGATCCTGCGGCGGCTGGAGAAGGAAAAGATCCTGGTCTTCACCCCCTCGCGGCGCGTTCAAGGTCGGCGCGTGGTCTGTTATGACGATCGCTTCATTGTCAAGCTGGCTTATGAGTCAGACGGCATCATCGTCTCCAATGACAACTACAGAGACCTGGCCAATGAAAAGCCCGAGTGGAAGAAATTCATAGATGAGCGTCTGCTCATGTATTCCTTCGTCAATGACAAGTACGTTTTCTGCTGCAGAGGTTTTGCTCTCAGATAGAAAAAGGATGATCAAACCTTGTTTATCTGATATTTCTTCAGATTCATGCCTCCAGATGATCCTCTTGGACGTCACGGCCCCAGCTTAGACAACTTCCTGAGGAAAAGGCCCATCATGCCTGAGCAGAAGAAACAACCCTGTCCATATGGTGAGAAAAATAGCAGATAAAGTTATTTTTGAATCCATTACTCATGAATATTTTAGCAGTTTCCCTGCTCAAACATACCTGGTTCAATGAATAGCCCCTTGTTGGGTCTCTGCAGAGCTTGACATGCTGAATAGGGCTTTTATCTGGTGTGTGTTGGATTTGAAATGCATCTAAAAGTTGAGAGATAATGGCTCTAGTATACTGGAGTTGGAGACTGCTACGTGCTGAATTCAATCTGAGACGAATTGCATCTTTCTGTTTTAGGAAAGAAGTGCACATATGGCCACAAGTGTAAGTACTACCATCCCGAGAGAGGAGCTCAGCCTCAGCGCGCTGTGGCCGACGAGCTGCGGGCCAGCGCCAAGGGCTGCGTCCCCTCCAAGAACCAGGGGGATGCTGGATTGGTGAAGAGCCACAGCGTGCCAGCTGGCACCATCGAGGCAAAGAACGGCGCCCTAAAAAGGCAGTCGGATCCCAGCATTCGAGCTCTGTCGTACAGCGACGCTGAGGAGAAGCTATTGGCCAAAAGTAGGTTGGAAAGTCAGAAGAGCAACGTAGGAGGGAGCAGCAGCAGCTCCAGTAGTAGCGTTGGCTGCGGCGGGGGTTTAACTATGGGAGGGCCCCCGTCTGCTTTTAGCCTTCTGCAGGACCAGCAGTCCAGATCAGGTGGGCATCTTCCTGCCCCCGCCCATGATCTCTACCCGCACTGTGAGTCTCCAGACTTAAGCTACTACTCAGTAACACGGGCCTACTCTGGCCTGAGCCTCTCCTCCCGGCGAAGCCCGGACTGCCGCTACCCCAACGATCAGGACCTACGGCACGGCTCCATGGGCTCAGCTGGCTCTGAATGCGGGAGTGAAAGCAGCGTCAGTTGTGGCAGCAGTGACTCCTATAGCGACAGATCCTGTCCCGGATGCTCCGCCGATACTTTAATAGAAGAAAACCTTATTTTCCATAACCCCCCCAGCCACCTCTACACCCATCATGTCCCCCCCTCTAACCATGAGCTGTGCAGCCTTCATGCTGCAGATTACCCAAACATCCAACACAACCACTCCTCTAATCCAATTCATTCCTACCACCTGGGCTCTGCTTGTGGACAGAGCTGCGTTCATGAGCCGCCGCCATCAGAGGTACCCCCTAAGCGGCCCCTCTACCCGCTGCCCCCTCACCTCCAACACCAGCCCCTAGCTGCTCGCTCCAGCTGCCCCGGCGACTACCAGTCTCTGCCTCAGTCCAACCGTCAGCCCCCCGGCTCCCCCGTCGGCCGCTGCCTGGCGCCCACGCGAACCGAAAGTGTATCCGACTCCCGCCTGTACGAACATCTCTCTGCGTCTCACCATCACCATCGACCGAAAGCTCTGCCCAGCTGGGAGACTTACTATAGACAACCATCGCTGCCGCCGCCGAGGTACGAGCCGTCGGCCTATCAGAGTCTCCCCGATACGCATCAGACATCTTGGCACCCACCGGGATGGCCCCAAGAGGGCTACAGCCAGCATCACTCGTCTCACCCAGCTCTGCACCCGTCCCCCACACGCTACCGAAGCCACCCCCCACCATCGGCCCCCTCTCCACACCCGCCTTACCCCCCTCACAGCTCCCATCTTGGATTTCCCCCACACCCTCCACCTCCATACAGGCCACAGCACCCCGAGTCTCCAGTGCACGGCCGCTATGAAGACGCCAGGGAGAAGGTGTACATAAACCTTTGCAACATCTTCCCCTCAGAACTGGTAAGCCGGGTAATGGCCAGGAGCCCCCACGTCATGGACCCCCAGCAGCTGGCTGCCGCCATCTTGGCAGAGAAAGCTCAGAGTGGCTACTGATTAATGGCCTCCCATGTGAACAATCACTCTAAATAAGTAGTTTGAATAAAAAAGAAAAGGAAAAACACATGAAACTTTAATGTTAAAGATGTAGGCCAATTTTTGAAAAACACCTCAAAAGATAATCAATGCTGACTGTAGCAACAATTGTTTTAATCTTCAACCAACTCAAAACATCACTTTTTAAAACGCATTTATAAAAAGGAAAGGGGGAAAAAAGCATTTTTACATTTCTGCCCAAAGGAAACTATTTGATTCAAAGGAAACTCATTAAAGAAATAGAGTTCCTACACAAGAAGCTATATTAACCTTATCTAAAGCAACACTGTAACATTTAGCCACTAGGGGTCACTAGAACACTAACTTGGAAGTTAAGTGAGCTGAAAGCAGCCGGAAACGCTGCAGTTTGGCAAAAATAAACAAATACTCTGAGAAGTTTGAAATGTGGACCACTCATGGAGGTATTTATTAAATCCAAGGCTGCATTCACCCTCTAGATTAAATCCTACACCAGAGAACCAAAATATGTCAGATTAGATTATGTGTTTTGTTACCCAACAACAAACTTTAGCCTAGTCACATGCTCATTCAGCAACAGATCCGACCGTCTCATGCTACATAGACGCCCGTAGCATCGATTTTATTTATATTATTACTTGTGTGAAAAACAGTTAGTGTTTCTTTTATTCTGTCATTTAATAACTGTGTGCATTAAGGTGAGCAGTCATTTTCAGTCCAACCTGAAAAGCGCCTTTACCTGCAATAAAGTCAGATATCATGTTTTTAAATGTTGGAAGATAATTTGCTTTTACTAAATCTGCTGCCCTTTCAGTCTGTTTTGGGGGCTGAAAGAAAGGCAGCGCTTTACTTTTTTATATGTATAAGTTCAGGCTTTTCACAATTTAACATACATTTGTATTCACATAGTCACATTAAGTGGTTGGTTCACAATTAAATAGTCACCATAAATGTTTTTTTAAAGAAATCCTTTGTCCCTCCGCCTGTTACATCTGAGCATTATGGATTTTGTGATTTTCTGCTACAGTTCAACCTAAATTGGTTTATTCTTACAGTCACTGTGTGCTTTGTGGGTTTCCGTTCCCATGGTTGTAACGAAAAGATGGGTGTTCTAAATGTTGTCGTTTTATTGAGACAACAGTCTTTTTGGTCAGAGTTGTATGCCGTAGAGATGGGTGACCCTGTCCTGTGTACCTTAGTTTTAGTAAGGGACATCTCTATCTCTCTCTCTGGGCCCTGAACTTTTGGGTCAACCCTGGTTATCTGCTTCAGCTCCGACGCTTCATGGACAGCAACTGTAAATATATTTAACCGTTTCCTCCTCTTTGCTTTCCGGGCAGTAGAGTCCGCCGTCGTCTGGAGCAGATCCCAGCTGAATTCACGCTAGACGGAGAAAAAAGAAAAAACCTGTTTGATACAAATTGTATCATGAACTAAGTCGCTGATGTTATATACAGTACTTGAACTTGTTGATGCGTGTCTATCAAACTCTCTTAATGTATTGCTATATGACAAAGTGCATCAATAATAGCTCTTTTTTTTTTATTTATCCCAATCTTACAACTTTTTATTGTTAAAAATATCTTTGAGACAATTAATTTCAGTATTTTTTAAGAAATAGTTGTAGACCTACTATGTTTAGGTGTCAACTACATTACCTGTTTTCACCTTAGCTGGCTTAATTGTATTATTGTAATCGCTGGTAAAGATTTGTAAAAAGAAAGAGGCCCTATTGATCATGGTATTTTGTCATGAGTAAATCAATATTTTCTGTTTCCCTGAGATGGAAACAACTGAAAATAACTCATTCCTACAGCAACAGTTAAAAAGTGAAACAGCAACAGAGCTTTTTACACATCTACACCAGTGTGAGCAATAATAGTCAAAGCTGATTCTAATAATTAGGGAAACATTTGGTGATCTACAGCCTTATTTTACTCTGAGGTTGGGGCCACTAGCATTATGTCAGGTCTCTTCCAAGTCATTATTTCAGTGAACTTAAACCATTGGGCCGATATCCATGTGGCCATTTTGAATTTCTCTTAACACCCAAATTTCATGATTTCCATCAGTCATGGCTACACATATACAAACACACTTTTTACACTTTAAGGACTTTATGATTTAGAGTTCCTCTATATTTACAACAAACAAGATGATTATTAAGTTCATTAAAAAATCCCAAGGAAAAAAAAAGTATTGAAACCTAATGTATTCCTTAAGCCACATAAACAGTGGTCCTAGTTGCATTTATAAATTCTTAAAGTAGGCATTGTTTTTTTTTTAATTGCTAAACTGATTTAGATTTATATAATTGATGAGCAACAGAAAAAAAAAACCCAAAAAACTGCTTAATAAATGACTAAGCCGTTTTTTTTGGAGAGTCCAAAATTAGTTTCTACGCTGATGACGTTTTCCAGTATAGTTGCAAAAGAAGCACTTAGAAAACCATTACAAAACAGACCCCTGTTATTAGATTTCTCTGAAATTGAAAAACCTTATCACTTGTATTTAAATTCAAATATGAAAATCATTTCTGAAGTTCAAAATGGCTATAAAGGAGGTTAGCTTGAGTGAGCTTGTTAATTAACAAGCAAGCTCCATAAAGCCTGGTGGCTTCTTTCCTGTCCATCTTGATACGTTGTACAAAATATATGTTCAATTGTACAATAATGTTGATGCGAGGGAATTCTTTGTGTTTATTGAAGAAGCGCCTTCTCTCTGGCCTCTTGGCACCGTGTGTCAGTGTGGCGACTGAGCGTGGGCCCAAAGTAATGCCTCTCTGTGGCATTGTGCTTATGACACATCCGATACTCTGAACTATGTTCAGCTATTATGCATGAAGTTTTTTTTTATTATTATTAATTCTTAATATTATGCATGAGTTGTATTTAATGTTGTTGTCTTGCTATTCCAATGAAATTCCAGTTACTGAAAAGCCTGTAGGTTAAAATGTTTGCAGAGCCAATTTTCTTGCTTCTAGATTTTATGAGCAGCTAAAACTTGACACTAACAAATCAGGGGGTTCTTTACCTCCTACCTAATTACACCCTGTGGTAAAATCTAACTTCTAAATCTTTTAAAACTAACTTCAAGGATAACAAAGTTTCACATTTGTTACGTTTTGTCAATAAAGTGTAATTACTGTAAATGTTCAATAAAGTCAGTTTACAGCTATAAAATGTGCCGTGGCTTGTTTGTGTGGAAAAACCTGTAAGGTTATATTGAATGTTGTGTGCAAAAAAAGGTTGTAGTTTTTCTTAAAATTGAACAGTTGAAGTATCTTTTTAATCAAAAAAGTAACAATTGCGTAAAAGCTGTTAAATATTTTTGTATGCCATAAATTAAAGAAAAATGTCTATGATTATTGAAATGTAAATAACAAAACTGTAGTGAAATATGAGGCAAACTGAATCATAAGAGAAAATAACTAATAGTCCTTGACATCAATTTTTTATTTTTTTAACAGTGGATCTAAAAAGTGCCAGTAACTTATTAATTAGAATTTATTTTTTATGGGAGATTTGATCTGTGAAAATACAAACTTGATGCAATAATGTGGTCAAATCACTATGCAGAGCCCTAAACAAAAAAAAATCAGCCCGAATTGTTTTAGGTCAAAACTAGCTGGTGTTTTGAAGAAAAGCTGCCATTTTGCAAGAATCTGTCACAGCTTTGATTCGCTCAGACAGTGGTAACTGTTCAATTTGTCAAAGACATAATGAGCCTGCATAAAATCAAAACAGAATAATGCTGGGAGATTTTTTTGTTACTGACAAGCTAGAGGATTAAACCTACAGATTCTGACATATGCATCAGAGATGGCAAAAGTACTCACTTTCCGTACTTGAGTAAAAGTACAGATACTTGTGTTAAAAAATACTCTGGTAAAAGTGGAAGTACTGATTAAACTTCTTTACTCAAATAAAAGTAACAAAGTACAGGCTTGTAAATTTACTTAAAGTATAAAAGTAAAAGTAGAAACCACTTTTTTCGTTGCCTACATTTTAAATGGATGTCTGCCAATAGGACTAGATCTCCGTTGTGTTCATTTTCAATCATCTCGTCGTCCATACTACTATGCTAACGCCACCGCCACCAAGCTGCAATGATTTGCCGCGAATTAATACCGCCGAATCTGTCGATTCATCTTGTAGTGGTGCATCAAATGCAATGTAGATTCCCATCCAATTAGACTGAATTTGGTATTTGTGAGAAAACGGCTCACCAGCTCACGTCAGAGGAGGAGTAAGCAGATGACTTGCAAAAAGGTGGTAAGAACCAGCGGACAACAAAATTCCAGTTCAAAAGCGTGTAGCGGTTTACTGGTGCAACGGTGAAGACAAAAAAAAAAAAAAAAAAAAAAAAATACTTTCAATTGCAGGCAATACAAAACACTGACAGCCTCACAGCAAGCTGACTTTAAATATAGTCTCTCTAAGCAGACCTTCAAAAGCAGTCTCTCCAAGCAGCCCCCCTAAGCCATTGGGAGTGTGCCCCTTAAATAGACCCACCAATAATCAGCCAATTGGGACAGCCCAACTAAACAGGAAGGGAAATCCCCAATAAAGCACAGTTAACATTGTAGAAAAAATGGAAAATTATATATGTTCATAACTACTCGCCACACTCCTCTATCATATGGAATAATAGATTTATTCTACATCGCAATAAGTCATTATTCTACAAAGATTGGATGGAGAAGAATATTTGGTCTATTATACACTTAATGGACACTAATGGTTACATATTAAATTACGAACAATTCTGTACAAAATATCAGTTCCTTCCTCCAAAAGATGAATTTACAAGATTACTTAACGCCTTGCCAGAACAATTTATTAATAAGATTCAAAATATAATAATATATCATCCAATTACCCCCAAACTACCCGATTTATCTATTAATGGAATATCAATCACTGATCAAAAATTCAATAACCACACAATTAGAAACTATCTAAATGAAACTTTGTTCCCTGGGAAAATAAATAAAAATAACATTCTTTGCAAATTTGAACAAAAATCAATTGAAATACCAAGAACTTTTTTTTTTTAAACTTCCTATACAACCAAAAGCTAAAGAAACTGCCATCTACCCATCAAAAGAACTACTAAGAATCCGTTTTAATATTGATGACAATAAATGCTCATTCTGTGAAAGTGATGTAGAAACTATAGACCATGTCTTCTATGAATGCAGTAAGACTAAAACATTTTGGAATTGTTTAGAAAGATGGATCAAATCAAAAATTGCACTCCCTAATTCTATTTCTAGAGATATGGTAGTTTTTGGAATACTATTGAAAGACAAAACAATAGAACTCTGTTGTAACCTAATTTTTTGTTTAGCAAAATTCTTTATTCATAAACAGAGAGTCTTGAGATCCTCCCCTATCTTTAGTATTTTTTTTATCTGAATTTAATTTATATTTGACATCTCTTGAATGTATCGAATCTTACAAATACCTGACTGAAATACTAATGGAACTGCCCACTGATGTACATTAATCCTAACATATGAATCCCCTTGTCTTTATGTTATTTTATTGTATTATTAGCATTACTCACGCTTTTTTTATTTTCCTCATCAGTTACTTTGTATTTTCATTCTGAAATCTGCCTCTACTATGCCTTCTATAGAATTTGAATTCTAATGTTCTTATTGCCTAACTTGTTTCTACCCACCTTGTTTAAATAAAGTTCATTTAAAAAAAAAACATTGTAGAAAAATAAATACAGACAATAGCATCATTCATACAAAAACATACATATTAATGAAATAATTTAACCATGCTAACATTACCATTTCACCTACTTATTACCATGCAAACAATTATTACATTCATTGAAATCCCACTTAACACCCCTGCCCCCTAATAGTCTTTTTCAATGCCCTGGGACAATGGATAAGAGACTGTCTCCGATGCGGTACGTGTTTCCACACGGACCAGTATGCTGACGGACTAAGGGAAGAGAATGTGTAATTTGACTGGGAAGTTTTATTACCGACTACGGAATGTATATTAAAGCTGTCGCAGTGGGTACCTTCAGAGTTTGCTACGCTGGTGACGTTGTGATTTCGGAACTAGTGTAAATTACCTGGTGAATTGTTTGGAACTGCCGCCGCCATGATGGCCGGTTTGTGGTGCATGCTGGGAAATGTAGTGAAGGATGTGACGCTGTGCGTGATAGACAGCGGCTACACTTTGGGAACAGAGGGGGAAAACGGCTCCGTTTGCACAGTGACGTGAAAAATAATAACGGTAACTCAATTGAAATGATTCAAAACTAAAGTAACGAGCCAATTTTTTTAAAATGTAAGGAGTAGAAAGTACAGATATTTGTTTAAAAATGTAAGGAGTAGAAGTAAAAAGTCGCCATAAAAATAAGTAGTAAAGTAAAGTAAAAATATCAGAAAAATCTACTTGAGTACAGTAACGAAGTATTTGTACTTCGTTACTTCCCATCTCTGATATGCATTAAACAAACTTAAGGGTTTTTCTAAAATTAGATAGTGGATCTTGTATTTCACCCTAAAAAGGCATCCAGATTCTTTCTTTGTTTCACATAAAAACTAGATCAAACTGAAGAAAACTACTTAAAGTGCCTAAATTAACCAGATAAAGTATCAAAGCCGTTACTAAAGTTTTGGTAATTGTTCTCCAAATCAACCCCTTGAGTCCCAAATGACACCTGCTCATGTTGATCTATTTATAGAAATGGCCAAAACACAGTCACATGGTGTTTCTTCCACACGCCTTTCAAATGGAGCTTGAAAATTTCTAAAACATGCTTCAAAAAATTTTTTTTCCACAAATACTTTTTGTTTTATAGTTGTGTAAACAAATAAAATTATATTTAAAATTCCACCTCACATGTGTGACTCTGCGGGACTAACGCAACAGCAGGTGTTCAGTTTTAGCCCCACCCCCTAATGGTCGGCATCATTGGAAACTACAGGCTCAGACCTTTCCAACAAGGGGTCGGATGTTCTTATTTTCTATTCAGTTTGGTGATATTACTGGTAAATTTCAATGAAACAGCAGCTAAATCTTAGGTGCAAAGTCTTTTTCTTATGCTGAAGGTCTCCAATAATGTAAACCAGCATATTTCTCTAGTCAGATTCCTTTTTATGAGCAGAAAAAAGCTGTTTTGCACTTTTTGCATTGTGCCAAAATCACATTTCTGCCTAGCACATTGCCAATAAAACCTTTGTGGGAAAAAAACATGCTTCAACTTATTTGGTATAAATTTGCTTGAGTTATAGATGTGGATCTATAAAGTCTGAGGGTTCATCCAGAGTTTCAAATGGGGTTTCATGGTGTTATGCAGCGTTAATTTTGCTGTGAAACTAAGATAAGTGCGCCAGGAGACCATGTAAAAGTATGAAGGGTGTTGTGGAGCAGAGGGTTTGTGACTGTACGGTGCCAGTGATGTAATGTGTGGTTCGAGCCCCATGTTTCTTAGGTGCTATGCACAAGGAGACAATTACCAGTTAAACCAAAATGTAAATGTAACTTTTTTCCAACAGTAATAGTGAGAACAAAAAGATCCAACGTGTGACAGAGTGATTGCTATGTGACCCAGCTATAATCTAACGATGAACTGCAGTCTATTGTAGAACACATCCTACAGTTTGTTTCCCCATTTATGGAACATTAGAAGTCCTGCCTTTAAATCTGCCCAAATACCCACCAATGTGGATTTTTTTGTGCTGGACTTGGAAAAAAAAAAAAAGTCATAATGTAATGGAGCTGCAATTTATGTATGGATGGGGGGGATTTAAAAATAGATTTACAATTACAAATTTAAACTGAATAAGGATACAAGGATTTTTTTACTTTGTTTTTAAGTTGAGTTTCTTTACCAAGTAATTGAAAAATTGATTTACTAATAAAAAGTATTAAGGAATACTGACTGCAAAGGAAAACAAACAACAGACAAGCTTAAAATGTAAAACTTTTATTTGTGAGAAAGAAATGGACCATAATCCACCGCCGCCCATCTAACTTAAAGGATACAAACATGAACAACAGAAAGGAGAAAAAAAAAAGACAGCTGGTACCAGAGCAGACATGATCATCATCCCTAAAGATAAAACCTTCTTTGAGTCGAGCTGAACATGTCAGCAGAGCCCGTACTACTACACTTGGCTAATTTCCAGTTTTGTTTGGTATTTTTTTGTTCTTTTAAAGGATTCAAAATCAGGAGCTGGTAGAATGAGGTCATTTCTTTCCACCTGCTATGGGAAAAAAAAACAAAAAAAAAAAAACACTAAAGGCGGCTGAATATTCCACACAAAAGAAAATCAAAGAACCAACACCAGCTGTCAGGTATAAAACAAACAAATATTAACGTTAATAAAAATAGTTTCAAACTTTAAATGTGATTGTTAGACTGGAAGGGGGTGGGGGAATATTGCAATAGTAACCCAAAACAACAAAGCGACATTACTAGTTTGTTTCTGTGAAAAGGCAGGACGCACTCCGAGTGTCTGACTTTCAGCCAGCGCTGCTGTTATCGCTGAGGTAGAGATGCGTCCCACCCTGGGACTGAAGTACTCATACGCTCCCCAGTCAGAGATGCTATGGCGTCTTAAAACCATCCAATGGATCCTTCGTGAGCAGGTAGGCATAGAAAACCCTCAACGATGACTGGGAACCCCACAGCAGCACTACAACAGAACCATATAGCTTATCTTTATAATACTTTTAAACACGAGGGTGACGGCTGAGTGGCACAAACTGATTAGTTAACCCAATAAGAAAAAAAATTCCCTTTGTAATCTCTGTTACATTCAACCGTCAAAACCTGCTGCTTGACAAGTGGCTCCAATTCATTCACAGAAAAGATTTCCTTTTAAAAGCTCTAAATACTGCCGTTTAGATCAACCAGGAAGTGAACTATTAAAAAATACTGCGGCTGTTTTTCTTCCACATGAACCTCCCAAATGTTAAGTCTCACTCAGCTCCAATATCTGATATGTTTCGACATGATGTAACATTCAAAGCTAAATTAACAACCATCACAACGCGGTTCATCCCCATACATGGGGATTATTCCCAAAAAAGGAACAAAAAGGGACCTTGACATCTGACTAAAGTTTTTTCAAACGTGTGTTAAAGACAATAAGAACAAAAAAAAAGGTAGCTTTCTATTGCCAGGTAGAAAATAGAATCTAGATTTGGTTTTACAGTTATTCTTCCCCTTCAGATAAATTGTTTGTTCTGAGCGGCTCTATGTGAAGAAGCTTTGGCATTGTCTGGTTGCCTTGGTAAGAAGAGGGGAAACTAGGCGGCTCTGTTTTCACATGGACTCGAACTCGTCGATGCGCTGCTTCGTGTTGCCCTGCCGGATTTGCCGCAGCGTTTTGTACTTGTCTCGGCCCTGCTTCATGTTCTCGGCGTGCAGCACGTCGTTCTGCGTCTTCTTGGTCTCGTCTCGGGCGTCCGCCAGCTCGGTGCTTAGAGTCTGGACAGGAGGAGACACGGTGAGGGTGTGACACAAAAGACGGACGAAACAAAACATGAATAAGACAGATAAGAAGCGGTGGTTTTTCCCCCCCAAGCTAGCGCTCCATTTTGACTTGACTTTAGGAACTATAAGAGCTTTATTTTTAAAGATTGAATTTGGTCCATTGATCACAATTATCACTAAAACATCACATCAAAAGTGAAGACAAAAGCAACAGATAGTAATAATATTTATCGGGTCTTTCTATAGTACAACGTATTTTGGGGAAGCAGAACTACAGTTGCAAGAGTACCTTTCTTATTTTAAATATACAATTGCTTATTGTTTTGGTTAAGCTTTACACTTATTAATAACTTTTCAAATTGGATTAAACTGAAACAAGATGCTTATATACACTGTATAAAGAAAATGGATAATTTTGGCCATCCAACAGACGTAAAATGATTTTAGGTTAAAAGGGGACTTGATTTTAGCTGCAGTGTATGTAAATATCTGGTTTCTAGTGCGTCTAATAAACTCTGAAGGAATAAATCCATATTTTGTGTGATTTGAAGCCACGTTACAGTCTAAGCCAGCACACCTCCTGTTAGAGGCAGGAGGATACAGACGGACGGACAGATAAGCGTGCCTCTCTTACCCTTATCTGCCATTGCTTGGCCCGTGTTTCTTCTTTGTTACAAAACTGCTGTTAGAAAATAATATCCTCTTGTTACTTCTTTTTGTGGGAAATCATGTTTTTAATGAACCTAAGCAGGTTTTTTTTGTTACACTAGAGGTGTAGCTTCATTGAATTTTCTTATAAATGATTTATTACTACTTTCAGCTTTCTACCCAGACCCCTCCTCCTTTTGAAGTCGCCTCCAAACCCTTTCTCCCAGGCTGCTTACCTGCAGCTGCTTCTTCACCCTCTCGTTCTTCTGGAACTCGGTGACACGAGCCTCTTCGCTGCGGAGGTCCAGCTGGCTGACGCCCTCGTTGGACAGCTCCGCGCTTGCCTCTGCGTGGTTCTCGTCCTGCTCGTCGTGCTCATGCTCGGCGTGACCGCCGGGATGAGCGGCTACTGGTGTCACTGCAGTCTTCAGCTCCTCCTTGGTCTTTTCCAGGTCCTCCTGAGCAGACAGAGCCTGCAAGTGGAGAAATGGGGATTTATGAAGTTTGAGGCTTACAAGTCCTTTCTAGGCGTTTGTTACCATGATTCGCAAATTTAAGATAATACCCACTTCGCATTTAGACAATTTTTTTCCTATTAATGTCACACATAAGTCAAAGTTAATCAAATGTCTGCAGTAAAACACAAACAAGTCTGACCAGCAAAGCAGATATCTAAGCTTTAAAGCTTTAGGTTTAACGATCATGGTGGAAGTGCTGCAGACTCTACATGGAGGGGAAGAAGTGACTGCAGTGGATTTCTGCACAATCTTAGGAGGTAATACACATTTTTTGAATTAAACCAGATAAACCTCGAGCTTTGAAGCTGATGGATGGAGAAGCAGGTGGGCGGACAGACAATAAGACGGATAAGGTGATTGGTGGGGGACAGACAAGCACATTAAAGGTTATATGGATGAACTACAGAGTACAGCTTTACGCATAAATAAATGTTAGGTACCTACCTCAGTTTTAATGTTTTCGGTATGTTTTAATCAAGAGAAAAACAAATTTGGATCCTTGTTTTGTACTGGATTAAGCAATAAACCAAAAGAAGAACTTCCTCGCAAATGCATGGATAGGCGTTTTTATAAGGATTAAATATGTAAACATATAATAATAAACTCAGTAAAGGGAAATATTCTGAGTTATACATGTGAAAACAACAGATAAAATATTCTTAATACGTTTGACAAACACATTGTTATTAAGTATTTGACTGAGGTGAATGCAATAAGTGGTAGTGAAACGAGGTGTTATCGACTGCAGTACCTTGTGCTGCCACTCGATGGCCTCGTCCTCCTTCTTCCTCTTAGCCTCTTCCAGGAGAGCGATCTTGGCTGTGAATTCTGCCAGCTCTGCAGCCTGGGATAAAGGAGAGGCCACCGTTAGACGCTGTTCAAACAGAAGAGTTTTTAATATGTGCTAAACTCTGGAAACAAACCAGCTGCTCTTGGGTTTTCTGCTGGTCTGCAGCCTGCCTGGCCAGCTCCGCCTTGGCCTCCTCTGCTGCTCGTCTCTCCCTCTCCAGCTTCTCAGCCTCCTCTTTGGCTCTCTGCCTTTCCTGCTCCAACTCCAAAGCCCGGCGGGTCTGCTCTTCAAGCTCTATCAGAGAGTAAAGATGTCTGCTCTAATGTATTCCAGGAAAGTCATCCACAGAAGTTTAACCAATGGGACGGTCGGGGAACATCTTAAAAATCACTAGTTGTTTTTGAACAGCATAGAAAAGCTGATAAACTGATGAAACAGAGAGAATATAGGAACCTCTCTGAGCTTTCATTGTCTGCTCTTCAATCTGCCGCAGCCGCTCCATGAGCTCCTCTTTCTCTCGCTCTATCCTTTCCTTCTCCTTCTCAGCAAGCTCTCGCTTCCTCTTTTCATTCTCCAGCTGGTCTCTGAGAACATCCACAAGTAGAGGTTTTAGTTCTTGAACAATTTAAGAAAGATGCGACATTTTGGATCTATTGACAGCTGCAGTCCTAACAGGATCGGCACCAGTTTTCATCAGGCACGCGCTCACCTTTCCATCTGCTTGTGGTGCTTTTCTTCTCGCGCTTGAGCCTTCATCTGCTGCACTTCGATGGTGTCTGGTTTTCTTCTCCTCATGTACAACTCGTGGTTACCCATACACAACGCTAAAATACGCTTGTTGATGCGCAGACGGGGGGCGTAAAATACAAAGTCCTTGAAAACAATAGGGAAACATTTAACATTTGAAATATGCTGCAAGTGACTTATTGGTTAATTTTCCAATGTACTCACAGGTGCTTTTTTGTCAATAGGCTTGATGACAAATTTCTTGTCATTAAAGGAGATGTTTCTGATCTCACTCCAGGGGAAGCCAATCTTTGGTGTCAATCTGATAGGAGGGGGACAATATTACAGTTAGAGATCAATCATCAGTTTGCATATGAATGATTACACCAATATAAGCACAACTTAGTGGTTGAGGGGCTTATAAAGAAGGAATTATCTTAAAAAATTGTTCATGTGACGCCATCTTTGTTTACTTCTTGATTCTTACACAATGAAGCAAGTTTAAAGCAGGAATATTTGATAGTAAACACCGAAGCATAGCAGATAGAATTTAAAAGGAAATCCTGCAGATTAAATCCATTCATTCTTTCTAATAAATGGAAAACAAATCCGACCGGAGAGAATAAAACGAGTTTTCCTTCCTCCATATTTAGCGGAGTTGTGTAACAGCAGACGTCGTTGCGATGACATGTATTGACAAACTTCTACCAACCGTTATAATTAGGAAACATTAAGCTGCGAGCTTCCAGTTATTGCAATCTTTTGTTCTTTCCCAATCCCTCCAAACAGCAGCTCTAACGCTTAAATGTTTAATCAAATCATTTCCAGTTGATTTTTAACAGATGTTTGAATGTAGATGAATGTATGGTTGTTTATCAGGATGCACTGATCATTGGAAAATATGAACATTAATTAAATAATTTGGTTTAAGTAGATCATTTCAGACAGTCTTCCCTGTACCAATATGATACCTATTTGTCCCCAAACTTGTCCAGGTTTAAACATTTAGTTGACATCTTACTTGTCCTCGTGTTCATAGATGTTTAGACCGAGTGCGTCCACACCAAGCCATAGCTGCGTGCCTTTCTTGTTTTTGATCTCAAAAAAGTTGACTCCATACATCTCCAAGTCTTGGGCAATTTTTAAGTACTCCATCATTGAATCTTCTCTGGAAAAAACAAGAGAGGACGTTTTTATTATGAAATGTTTTCCCTTAAATCTGACTGTTTTATGAAATTAATAAAAAGAAAAGTAGAGGAACGTTAAATCAAACTGAGACTAATTGTGGTATTCTAACATTACATGGGAAATCAGATCAAACAAGGATCTAGACGTCTATGAAAGCAAACAAAGTTGAATCGCTACCTGAGCATTCCTCTGTGTTCCTCATGCCAGGTCTGTATCCTGTCCTCCCATTGCTCCTTTGTCAGCTTGTGCTGCTCCAGAACCCTGAGGAAACACACAGACGCTGACGTTTACCTGAAGGAATGTCAAATGGCTTTAAATTGCTTCCTTAGGAGGAAATCATACAGTACTCCAACTGGGAAAGAAAAACATTTGATCTTCCTTTAACCAGAAAAGAGTCCAGCTCTCAGAGCTGAAAGCAAGTGGCTGAAGAATCCTGTAAAAACAGAAGTCGAACTTCTGTGCATCATTATTAGGGTTTTGATTCAACAGACTGAAAGAAAATATTCCAATCTTCATTCTAAATCATCAGAGCAGCGTTCTCTCCACAGCATGACCCTGCTCCTACCATGCTTTACTATATAGTTGCAATCAAGGCTGAGGCGTAGAGTGAGTTCCACTGAACTAGAGAGATAAATATTGGTCTCATTTGAAAGGAGGAACCTTCTTCTACATATTTGCTGTGTCACCATCATGGCTAGTGGCAAACCAAACAGATTTATCTTTACAAACCTTCAATAAAAGGCAAATCTGTGCAGATTTTCCCAGCTGCATTAGCGACTTATTCTCTAACTTAGCTTAGATCTGTCTACACTGCTTTTATCCTGACGTGTCTGCTGTGATCTTTGGTCTACATGATGGAGTATAAATAATTGAACGTTATTAATCTCACACTGGAGAAATTCATTTTCAGAGCACAGGCACACTGCCCTATCAGGCCCTCACTTCCCCCATTCCTCCTAACCGGTGGTTTTAAACACTTATGTTCTCTGAATTGATGTAATGTCATGTCATTTGGGGTTAGTTTGTTGCCTTCTCATACCTCTGAGGCAGCAGTCTGTCATGGGTAAGGTATCCAGGCTTATGAACATCTTTGCTGTAGTCTCCATACTTGGCCTGGACAGCATACGAAGCCAGTAAGACGGCCGTCTCTGGAGGACAATAGTTTTCGTCGTTCAAAATGGCCTCTTTTACCTAAAAGATCAAACGGAAACAATCGCACAAAGAGCAGCTGGATTACAGATTCCCTGTCCTCAGCCATATATTCACACATTTAAAGGCACATGATCGACAAGTGGCCACAGAATGAGCATTTCACCTGTAAGAAGAAAAGTCTCTGTGTGATCTCCTGGATCAGTTCCTCAGACACATCCTCTGGGAAAAACTTGGCTCTGAACTTGAACTGCAGAGGGTTTTCTTTCTTCACATCTTGCTGCGTCACCTGGTGGAAAAAAAAAATGACAAAAGAAATTAGGGTCATCTGATTTGAATTCGAACAGGTCACTTCATACCTGCATCTATCTTAAATAATTCTAGTTAAAGGAACAAAACAAATAAAAATCAGATTATACCTGAAAATAAAAATGAAATAGATTTGTCGCTTTAAGAAATCCAGCATTCAATACAGCGGTTTTACAATGTGGCCTGTGATGAGGCCGCATGACATTCTGATATCTAGTGACACCTGCTAGCGTGGTTGAACTCACAGCATATGTGGACAGCTGCCTCTCTCTCACACACACAAATAGTTTCCATCTTAGTTAATTAGAGTGGCCTCTGTTATGAAGCAGGGGAGTTTGCTGTAATTCAACACAAACATGTTTCTTAACATTTCTGTTCCTAAAGGAAGTGTTTTTTTTTCTTCATTCCTGTCTTACTTCTGGCAAACAAGTGGTGCAGGAAAATTCAAACCTCTTTACTAAAATAAAAATCTATCAAATGTAAGAGGTAAACAGTGAAGACTAACAGCAGATGAAAAGTTAGGGAGCTCAATCGAACTAGTGAACTTAATTATGGATTTTGGAAAAATAGTTTTTCTAGTCAAAAGGAACATATGAAAAAACATTTTCTGTGTATTTAAAAACAAACCTTTTTGTTCAGTTTTAGCCATGTGACGTAACCTTTACTGTCCACATACTGTAGACCGAAGAACCAAACCTCCCGCAAACCCACTGTTTTCACCACCTGGAATAGAAGGAAAAAAAAAAAAAGTTTGAAATTCATAAAGGCCTTTACTTAATTCAAAAAACCACGAGTACAGACTTGTGTTCTCGCCAAGTATGTTCTTGACAAGAACACAGGAAAGTATGAACTCGGAGAAAGCGGGAGCATGCAGAATAAATCTGGATCAACCGGAACAGAAGCGTAACTGTGACGTCACCACACGCACGGATCGTCTGGAGGTGCATACTTCCTGTTATTAATAGACTTTTTTCCATTTAGTCAAGGAATAATGATTACCAGTCAGATAAACCTAAATTCAAATGAACTTCACACACTGCTAAGCCGAGAGAGGGCTGTAGCAGACGGGCTAATGTTAGCCCTTGCTAGCTGCCGTTAGCCACCGTTCTCTCAACATTGAAACTTTTTTTGGTAAATTACGCACTAAAATCAGTAAATGGGCCATATAGCAAAGCTTAAAAATATAGTTTTCTCAACTCAAATGATCTTAAAATGTACTTTTAGAGAACAACGGCAACAGAAATGTGAACTTTTAACATAATACTCTGAGCTCTGAGTGCTCCACTGGAAGCTGCTGCCGCGGTGCATACTGGGACAGCTGTCAACCTCGAGAACGGACAAGTCTGCTCTGATGCATGCTGGGTAAAGAGGGAGGGGTCAGAACAACACACAGACTCCGTTCTTGTGAATTGGAACAGTGCTAGGGCTGAGGCTGATGACGTTACACGAGCACGTCTTAGACAAACTTAGAGTGCATATTATACACATATTGAGAAACGACCTGAATAAATGTAATTTAATTAAATTCACCATATGCTGGGGTTTCCCGAAATGGACCAATCACTATGTGCACACACAATATCCTTCACAGGTTTACATTAGTTGGACTCACCTGGTCAAACAGCTGTTTTCCTGTGGTGCTAGGCTGGATGGCAAACTCCAGCTCTGCATCCATGGTGGTCACACGGACATTGATCTGGTTCAAACAACAAAATAGGAAGATTATTGTTTGTTTATAACAATAACTGCAAAAAAAATAAAAAAAAATAAAATAATAGTCAGGAGTTTCCTATTTGATTCTGAAGTGTATTTTTCTTAAGTGTTTGACTCCCCTGTTTAGATTTTTTTCCCACCTAAGAATGACACAAAACGCATCTTGCAGGTTTTTTCATAAAGGAAAAATTGAAATACTAACAGCTGTTTTTGCCCTCGAAGATATTCCTCTAACCTTCCACCTCACATCTCTATTCTGATTTTCAAAAATAAGCAAAAAAAAAGTGCAAAGAGCAGTTAATCCAGATTTACTTGAAATGAACCTATTGAAAAATCTCCACATTAGCACATTAAAATGAGGTTAAGTGTTTAGATCCTCAAAGTATGCATAAAAACATTTGTGTTTAAGGTTCAGATATACCGACATCTGCATCTCTAACCAGTTAACAATGTCAAAGTGCAGCAGAATCATTTTTATCCAACTTTTAAAACACCAGCATTGTAAGGAAGAACACTGATTGAAGGCTGCACAGCCTGAGGTCTGACGACCTCTACTGGGGGGAGCATACGATAAAAAAAATCAGTCACTGACTGACGCTTGCTAAGCTGCAATGGCAGAAGGACTAGCAGCAGCTGATGAGGGCGGGTGACCTCAGAGGCATCTCACATCCTTCCTCCCACACCTACGTGCACGCACTACAGTGTGTAGCCCAGAGCTGGTTGAGAGCACGAGATGCAGAGAGGCGCTTAGTAGGGCGGAAGCTGAGAGGCAGGCAGTGCAAACTCAAAGTGCAAGAAAAAGAAAAAAATTACAATCTAGGCGCCAAAATGCAACAGGAAGCAAGAGAGAAGTTCTGGAGTTCTGCTACCTTTGCATGAGAAGAAGCTGAGGTAGTAACATTTGCTTCGCCTCCATAGAAATGATACAGAAAACCTCAAGAATGGTAATCTGACAATTCTCTGCTCTCATTTTAATCCATGATATCAGTTTTCTGTTCAATTAAAACCCCAAAAAACTTCCAAACTCACTTAACCAAAATCATTTTAACAGTCCTTATCACATTTCAAACAATATTTTATCGCATAAGATTTGGTAAAAGCTTTCAAATCTATGTGTAACATTTGAGTACTAGCAGCTACTACTTCAATGAGTTACGCAACTTATTCATTGATGTTTATCATATCATTCATCAAGATAGTGATAAACATCTTGTCATGATTAGATTTTGATTTTTACATTTAAATTGTTAAATTGGGATATTTAAAAGCTACTAAAAAAAGCAAACGGAGCATTCACAAATTCCAAGAAAATTATTAAATGCAGTCCTGTGTGCAGTTTAGTAATAAGAATCCCACTTCTTTATACAACTGCTGTCCTGAAAACCTTTTATAAATGGGTCTATCTTTCCAGAGCAGTATTTGTAAATGTGGAGTCCGATCACAACCATTGAGTCACCCAAGAAAAATGCAAAGAAGTAAACGTCATTGTCACTTTTTACCTCATCAGGGCAGTGCCACAAAATATTGTGACCCTTAATCACAAGTCAAGCAATTATAAACAAAAGGCGATCATTAATTCATGAATTTCAGACAGTCTTCTTATAATCTTCCCCTCTACATTTTAAAACAACAACTGACTAAGTCAAACGTCATGAAGAACAACGTTCTGTTCTACCTCTGCAGGTCAAGAACTGCAGAGTGAGCAAAAACTTCCTGTGATTCACAACAGATACTGTTCAGTCCACTGTCCTCAGTGCCTGGGAGGGTGGTAGTAACAGAATGCATGTCTGATCTTAGCTTTCTGCCTCAACTGAGCCTTTTCTTGCGTTTTTCCCCCCCTGCCTTCTTGGTAATACACTGTCAGAGCTCCGCTCTTCATGCTCTGTGTTGGTGGTAAAGTACTGTGTGTCTGCTGAAATGCAGTAAACTAACACGGCCAAGAGGAGGCCCCATGTATGGAGCAGACAGCCTGTTAATCCGTTTCTCTTGCAGACAGAGACGGGGGGAGGAGATGAGGGACAGCAACAACATGCTGAGGGACTGACAGCTAATCACACAGGGCAACAACTGACACGTCTTGGAGCGCTGACTTTTGTAAGCCTGTGTGTTATATCGACTTAGAGGGTCATATCAAAAATGAAAACAGTTTTGACTATTAATGATTGTTTTCAAATGTTTAAAAGTAGCAGTAAACCCTGACTTCTGCCTAAATCCCTTTAAAATAGAAAATCAATTAATATTTATTGTTTTAATAATGACAATATAATAAATCCAGAAGCTTTTTTAAATTTGATATTTAAAATAAAAAAGTTATAAAACTGTATTGCTGCAAAATGTCATAACTGATCTAAAACATCCCTTTGAAAGGGAGCTACTTTAAATCGTATATACACCTCTGTATGTAACTAGATACTTTCTCGATAGGGATACCTGTGTTTTTAATACATTATTTCTCAGACAGTAGATTGATATCAAAGACAATACTTTTAAAATGTTTTTATTCATTTAAAACTTAAAGCTATCACTGAGCTGAAACTTTAAAGTGTCCTGATTAACACTATTAGCAGAAATGTTGAAGATGGCTCCATGTCATATTGAACAAACCATCAAATAAAATCCTAAAAACAAAATTCTTTATTTTTTTTTAGGCATGATCCATCTACTGATCAGGCCCAGTTAACTATCTCTATTTATTACAAACAGACAGCAGAGGAAGCCAACACACTGCTACACTGATTAGGAGCGGCAGACAACAGGCAAAACGTGACAAATGCATTAACCCACTTCACCCTGATAGTAAATCCACAGCCATTGAAAAAACTTTTACCCAGCTTTGACCCATCTCATTTACTCATTTTGCCTTTAAAATGTTCCCTCCACATCCTCTTCCAAATGAATATTCTTTATGAACTTCGCTTCTCTACTGAAATGTGTGCAGCACTACCTCAGGGTGCAGTGAACATAGCTATGAGATTCCTCGCTCTCCATTTCAGATGCAAAGGTAAGTTCTCACTCTGATTTGACCATTGTTAAACGTGCAGCTGTTTAGACACTGTAAGCTGTTTAGAGAAGCTTTGCTGAGAGGTCTTAAAGCAAACACACACTAACTGCAGTCAGTTCAGAGCTGCTAATCTGAGCTGCCAGGCTCAGAGCAACTGTCTGTACCTCTGATTAACCTCACAGCACAGCGAGGGAATCCTCCCACTGACCAGAAAGGGGATGACCACCACTGCGTCACATAAAGACCCTTATTTTAAAGAAGGGTAGTTATTTTACAGGTTGGAGGTTCCTTAGGTTGTAAAGCTCATCTTTCTGACCCCCCCTGCCCTTCAGTTGCCTGGTGATCAGTCTACAAGCTGCTCTTTTACTTCCACAGAGCCAGGATGTTGACTTAAACTGGGCCCCCGAAAGTACACAGGCAGCCCCCTCCCCAGCAAACAGGAAAACAGCCTTCAGCTAGCTAGCAGCAAATGGCTTCTCTGTTTTCTAGACCAGTTTCAAAGGGGCGGGGTTAAAATATTTTTAAGACAAAAACTTTAGTTTAATGTTATTACTTAAAACTGACATATCAGAGGTTAGGAATGCACCTGCCATTCAGCCATAGATGGGATTAAATTCATTTTAATCAGCTCAGTTTATCAATCATCAATGACAAATTTGTTTTTTTGTTTGTCTCTATTTTATACTTTATAAACAAATCAACAACAGTCTGACTCTGTTTTATTTCATTTCTGTTCAAGGACAAGGTTTGATGCGTAAACGGGGATGATTCGGGAAGTTCTTGTTTTCACTCGGATTCAAACTATTTTTACCATCGAAGAACCCCAGAATAAACATTTAATCTGTCCAAATCACAATTGGTTGCCCAGAATTAGACACATAATGGAAGACAAGCTAGGAAAAACCCGACTGTTGAGTCTTTATCAGAAAAAAAATAGATATTAGAAAAGCAGAGAGCACAGGCCTCCGCCAAGCAGCTAAGTTTGCCTCATATTGTGACTTATAGCTAAAACTCACACATGATCTGGACCCTTACCCAATTTTAATTAATTGTTCCTTGGCATGAGGCACACCATTGCTAAAAAATTCCTTAAAATCCTTTCATAAGTTTATAAATTAGATACAGTGTGTGTCTGCAGCCTCTGGTGTTTGTTCTGCTCTCCCTGGCTTCATTTACTGCTTTCTTTTTTAATCAGCAGATTGAGACTTTTAACGAGGCATGGCCCTTCTTTCCTGTGTTTTTGACTTCTGTATAATACTTCTAGACTTTTTTTAGTCAGAAACTGAAGCTGTCAATAGTCACTGCTGCGACTCTGGTTTCAGGGGGAAACTAATTGTTCATCCAAACAATGTTAAAGAGTCCTTTAAAAACAATCCTTCATCATGATTATGATGGAGACGTGTTTGTCTGGAAAGCAGCATCTTTCTACTTACTGGTGATTATGACAGTGGCAAGTTATCGACTGAAGAATGAAAAGAGGAAGTGAAGGAGGAAATCAGTGCTTGTCTGTTCCTCTTTAAATCTTCCTAAAGCCCAAGCCACCTCCCACAATGCAAGAACATGGTTGCGCCTCACTTGTAGCTTACTCCAACTTCAACCAGTTGTAATCTTATGTGCACAGAACGAATGTGGAATTGAGACTTGTTTAGAATCAAATAAATAAAGAGTAACACGTTTCAAATATTTAGGTTTATCGGGAAGGTGTGATAAACCAAAGTGCAAAAAGGGATCTTGAGAATAAGGACACCAAAGTTTAACGGGGATAAAGACGCTCAACTGTGGGAAGCAGAGACCCAAGACAAGACTGCATCAAATTGGTTTTGTTTTGGCGCAGTTCACATCCCAGGACTCAGGCATTCTCCTTTTACCCTTTTCAACAACAATGACTGCTGTGTTGCTGCGGCAAGGCCAGTGGGATTGGCACTCTGAAAGACACTATGGCTGTTGTCTAAATGGAAAAGGAAGCATGACCATGAATCCCCCCACTTCTAAAATTCTTAATATGTACTTTTAAGTAAACAGCTTTTAAGCACAACAACAAGAGACCAGAGTATCTTCAGTGAAGTTACATATAAAGGAATGAAACTTTAGCATAAAACACACTTTTGCTCAATCTTACCGGTTTAGGCATGTTTGCTTCCCCTCCTCCTTTCACCCAACAGCTGAGAGGATAAATCCGTCAGCAGACGGAAGTCAAACCTAAAATAAAAAAAAAAATACATTTATTTTTAAAACACGAGTCGATGGGGAATGTGCATTTGTGTTTTGAAACAAGCATTACATTTGATTTTCAACGCAAATTCCCGATTCTGCACTGAGAATGTACCGGTTTTTATTGAGCATACTGCATGGAAGAGGAGTCTAATTTTAGTCTTAATTTTGCAAAATTATATGAAAATAGTTAAACCCACCAAACACTCACTTAAAACACCAACATTTAGCCACTAGGGGTGCTAGACTTGTAACACCCAGGGGGTTCCCCCCTGAAACAATGGTCAGGTTTCATATTTTGTTCTGTTGCCCAGACAACAGCTTTGATCTTAGTTAGCTCTTGTGTTTAAGGGAAGCTCGGACTGCCATTAAGCGTCACTCTAAGCAAAATTACTCATTTGGTGACGGATCTGATACTCTTTTAAGTTACATAGGAAGGTTTTAAAGAAGGGTAGTGTACACAAGTGCTTACTGACCAGAAAAATCCTTTATTATATCTTAACATAAGTCATTAGTTGGGTCTACAGTTAATCGTTGTCGCAATTGCACGAAACCTGAAGTTTTTTTATTTACTTTTTTATTACATAATTATTTAAAACAGTAAAGTCCCGTTCACATTGAAAAACCTATTTTTCATGGAAGTAAGTTAGGAGTTTCTCACTACAAAATGCCCCCTTTTCTTTACATTTCAAAATATGTATTCTACCATTTTTAAAGCAGCCAAACAAATCGCTCTTAAAAGCTTATTTTCTTGAAAAGCAGAGACATTTTCGTTAAATTCACTACACCTAAACGAGCTAAAGACTTTAAATCGGTAGCAAATTCAAACAGTTGAAGCTTTTATCTTAAGTGTTTCTAGATGGACGTGATTCCTGGTGGATACTCTGTCTCTACAGGCTTTAGCATAGATGAAATATCATAAAAAGGCTTATAGGTGTGTTAACACCCTGCCTAAATAAGAAGGTTGCATCATTTTCACATGATACCAGTTTTGATGTCTGTATAAGTCCACTTATTCTTTGCTGCTTCTGCAATTCCTCAAATTATTAAAACTCATTTAACTAAGTGTCTAGGGAGTAATGGCCTATAGGTTAGAGCAGTGCGCTTGTGCTCTGATAAGGTTACAAATTTTCCTATAGCATTTGAACCTAATGCACTAAAAAAAAAATTTAAATAGTAAGTTAGACTATGCAGATTATGCCTAAGGCTTTAAAAAAAAACAACAACAGTGTAATGAAGTAGTCAAAAACACAAAAGTATTTAGTATAATAGTATTTAGATAAAAGTAAAGAAAGGAACTACAAGAATTTATTCTTAAGATTCATGTTTTGTCTTAGTCAGCTGTAAGCTGTTTTATATTTTCTATCACATACACTCATAACTTTTAAATTAGCATTCAATGTTTTGTGAAGTTGTAAGCTCAGAGTAGGGGGAGTAGTTGTAAGCTCAAAGTAGGGGGATTTCTCATCTCTCCTCCTCAGCAGATGGCAGCTTACACTGAGCCTGGTTCTGCTGCATGTTTCTTACGGTTAGAAGGGAGTTTTTCCTCTCCACTGTCGCTACAAGCATGCTGAGAGCATTCCAGTCAATGAGTCGATGCAATCAACTGGTTGTCCTTAGATACAAAACTTTGAATCAATTTGACTGTATGATCTGGTGAACTGTAAAGTGCATTGAGATGACGTGTGTTGTGAATTGGCGCTATAGAAATAAACTAAATTGAGTTTCTATTTCTATATTTTAAGTTTTTGCATTAAATTAGATAAGGCATTCTAACACATAAACATGATTGAATCCAAATTATTGTAGCTATTATATTGTAGCTCTGTATGTAAGTTAAAGGTTGGTGCATCCTGGCAGAGGCGGAGCTAGATGAGGGGCCAGGGGTGGCCTTAGCCAATCATTGGCCACCCCTACCATTGTTTTATTCCTAATAATCAAGTGGAATTTTAAAGAATTTCACATTTTTCATATATTTATAATTACTTGATAACAAAAACACTGTGGTTAATTATGCACATCAATATGCTAACATTAAAGATGGTAAGTACATACTTCATGCTCTTTTTCAGAACTAGATTTTGTGTTTTATGTGCTAAAGAGAAAATTATGTGTCTCTGCATTCATCTAGGAGTCTTTAGTGAAATCATAGATACATTACTATTTTATTGAAAACATATTAAATAATCAATTTATGTAGATATTAGTACTTGTAAATATCAATTTTATCTCAGGATGATTATTGATAAAAGTAGGTAAGTAATGACAATGGAAAAGATATTCGGTCCAGAACTCAAACCTGAATTTTACCTTTCATCTAAAAAGCATGGATGTTCAAATATGTGCATCTACTTGTTAGCAAAGGCTGTAGGAAAGTATAGTTTGTCTTTGTTTAGAAAATATGGATGTTTTGCTTGTTAATTTCCCTTTTGGAACAGGGTAGATTGACCCAGAGGTTCTGGTGCCTATCCATTTTCGGCCACCTCTCAGTGTACACTGGCCACCCTTATAAAAATGTTCTGGCTACGCCTCTGCATCCTGGAGGGTTGACCTTCTAATTGATCATCTAAATGCTCACTGTATTTTTAAATAGCCAACCATATCTTTTTAGGCTTTATTAAAGCAATATGATAGCATCTTTATTTACGAGTGTAAACTATAAAATAAGCCCTTAAAACAATTATGAGGGTTCCATTAAAAAAAATATTTGAATTCATAATTTAGATGATCTAAACACCGATTTGTGAGAAAACTAATATGCCTCGAGGAAACCACCTAGTTTACCTATTTACCCGCGGATTTGGCTTCCGTTCAAACTGAAATTTAACCACAAGTTCAAGCAACAGCAAGACAACTGTTGCTCCGCCCGACAGACATTAGCATAACACCACGAATATAATTAATGTTGATAAAAAAAAACAGAAATATAGCATTCTTTGAATCGATAAAGAGTTGACTGTACAAACACACGGCCCTAAAAGTCACTAGAACCGAGCCTTTGGTGTCTGACATTTTCATGCTAGTGGGTGTAGCCCCACATAACGGGACGAGCCTAGCCGAGGCTGTGAAGTTCCGCCACATTTGCCAACAAAAATGCAGAAACTCGTTAAAAACGGCAACGAAATACAACTAAACTCCACTTTTCCAAGCATTTCTGTGTAGTTCAAGGAAGAGATATTAGGTTTAAAATATTTAAACGTGTGAGACGCAAACCACACAAGCACGAGGACATCCGTTAGTAGTCCATCAAAGTTGAAGAGAAGCTCATCTTTTTTTTTTTTTTTTTTTTGAGGGTAGAGGAAAACTCACCGGGGATCTACGTGTCTCCTCGAAATTCAAAGCCGAGCGGAAAGCGATGAATCACGACGAATAAGTTTGGTTCCCGTTATTTTTCTCGTCTCCTACAATTAAATATCCAAGGACATGAGAGCAGCGTTTAAGTCTAAACAATTATAAGGCGATTTGGTGTGTCTGCGTCAAGCGGACTGAGTGAGAGATGGTTTCCGGTTTTGGCTTTAAAAAATAAAAGCCTCATCCGGACCTGTCACAATAAACTGAGAAAATACTTTTTTGTTTAAAATAAAATGTTTTTACATAAAATCGACGTATCTATTTAGAATTTAAACTGTCTATAATAAAATAATAAAAAAATGCTTTTAACTTTTATTGTATTTTAAATTGGAAGTTGTGACATTTACGTTATAGTTTGTTTTATTTATTTTTTAGGTATAATTCTTAACATTTCCGACAACGTCTTCTTTTTTAGAAACTTGACACTTGTTAAGGGACGTGTTATATGGCTGTCAGTAGGCGACATCTGACTAATAGTGATGCATGCAGTAGAGTGCAGTATAGTCGATTTAATCAGTGCAAAACTGAAAAATTACTGCATTTATATTATTTTTTTGCATGAATCGTTGGGTAAATTGTGTTGAGTTTACACTCTTAAACCGAGTTTAGAATTTAATTAAATGCTAAGTTTGTCGAAATCCCATTATCTCATCTGATATATATATAATCACATATATATATATATATATATATATATATATATATATATATATATATATATATATATATATATATATATATATATATATATATATATATAAATATAAATAAATTACAAAAAAATAGTATAGAACCTATTGCATTTTTATATTAAATCCCTTTTCCCGTCCAAAAGTTGCATAAATCAGCCCATCCCTCCTTACTACTTTTTCTCTCCTTTTTATTTTATTTTTATTTTTTATTTTTTTTTGCGGCTTTTATTTTATTTTTTTTTTAGAGACACTTGGGTAAATGTTGTATTTTTTTTTCCTTAAACAAAATGCCAGAGAGAAAAAAGCTGATGGCTCAGAATGCCTGTCAGGATAAATATGGAAACTCTAACCACTGAAATCTACATGAGTTAAAGGTTTCCGCCTTAATAGCTCTCTACTGACACCTGCTGGTTGTGAGGTGTATATAACAGCAAACTCAAGCTGCAAATTAATTGCAATGTTCCAGCACCATTTTCACAATTATAACCCTGCATAACATATTTAAAAAATCTGCACGTTTTTAATTACTGAAATTATATGGCAAAAACTAAAAGCACACACTAGGAAATACATTTAATCAATAAAGTAGAGGCAGCTGGATCCAACTATTTGGCTAATTGAGGAGGAGGAGGAGCTGTGGACTACTAAAACAAACAGGTAAGTTGAAGAAAACCTTTTGATCATCATAAATATTGTTCTTTAAAATCAAAACGTTAGATTTTTTTATTCATAATGTAGCAAAGTGATTTCATGTTTGGTTGCACAAACTGTTGGAGAGGGTCAATACGTTATTAATATAGAAGATAAATCAATGACTTTCTGTTTGCCTAAATGTTCATCTTTATTCATTCCAATATTCAGGGTAAATTTAAAGTAAACATATTTTAACAATCTGGTCCAAAAAAATAAAAAATAAAAACAAAGGTAATGCTTGATTAGATACAGACTACAACGTTTCAAGCATTTATTTCTGGTAATTTGTGATAACTATGGCTTCCAGCTAATGAAAATCCTAAATTCTCGTTTTATATAAATCACTGCATCAATGCAGAAGGCTGGAGCTTTAATAAAGCCCTCTGAACGGTTGGCTCTTGTTTCTCATCACTTCTCAACAGCACTACATAGACACTTGTGGTTTAGATCATGAGAGCCAACTTGAAAACACTTCCAATGTTGTTTCCCTTTTCAGGGTTTGCTTAAGAAATGCAACAGTTGCAGCTGATGTCCTCGATATGTCTGAGCATATGTCCTTCCAAACCAATTACCATGCAACATGTGTCACCAAGCAGCCTCTGTGAAGATGGTCTGTGCACTATTACTGATGGTGGATCAGCTGGAAAAATAAATAACTATACAGACCCTTCATATGTTTCAGCATGAATAAAAGATATTTTATTTTAAATTTCACAGATTAAATATTATGAATGATTTGCTATCAATGTAAATATATCTGGTTGTCTGAAACCCTTTTCAGACAGATAAAGCTTTGCTTTAAATGGGTTATGCTTTTCTAATCCGTCAGGGATCCAGATGTTCCCGTTGCTTTTACACTTTTTCCTTCCACTCAACTTTTAATCACTATCTTTCCTTTATTGTCCTTATAATGCTAAAAGCAAAGTATACATATTGCTGCAGATGTTCACACAATTTGTTCCCCTCAACGATAAGAAAAGCTGGCAGTGAGTAGGTGGAAAAAGAAACTCAGGTTTCACCTGCACGACGTTGGCAGCAGAGAGCCTGTGTCTCTGATTAAACAAGCACTTAACATTTTAAATAGACTAGAACTCCATTTTTGATGGATGACCTATTTGGTTACACTGTCGAACCAGGTATTGAACTTTTTACTAATCATTGATGTTCTTTTTTTATTGGTTTTAAGTCATATTTATTAAATTTAGTAAAAAATAATAACTTCTCTATCTCAAGATATATATATATTTTTTGAGTGACTGATTTAATACAGTTTATTAACTATGCAGGAAACATCAACTGGACAGTATCCATGTCTTCTTTTGAGTTTTGTTCTTGTTTTGACATACTTTGTGCGTATTCTCTTTGAACGAACAGATCAAGAAGTTTCCTCGCTGACACAAGCACTCCGAATCCCTCAAGACAAACAGTTGTCACGGTGCCAAACTGAAACCAAAAGTGAGTTTGTTTCCCTTTTCTGGAAAACACGCACATTTGAAATCTGCTGATGCCTCCATTTCCGCATCCTCTGGACTCCCCCCATCATCCTCCTCCTTTGGCCACATCTAAAATACTTGGCTGTTAGATGTGTCACATTGTGTTTGCACACAGAGCTCGCCCTCCTTGGTCTGTATTTAGACTGGCATATCACCACGTCACAAGATCTGGGTCCATATGACTGCAAGCCTGCTGCTGTATTGTCAAAGCAATGAAAGGGGCCTCTGTGGGGATAATTGAATAGAGAATTGAACAAATTTGGGCTGATTTTTCTTACCAGAATTCATCAGGTTCATGCGATAAAGCCCCCCCCATCACCCATCATTAAAGGTAAAACTAACTGAATAGTATTTAGGATTTGGACAAAAACGCTTAGTGTTGTTTTTTTTTGGCCAGTTTTCATCATGTTTTGTTCTATATGAAAGCCTGAGATGATCACACGTGTCCAAAATGCTAGTGTAAACTAAGACCCATCTGAGTGGATCAAATTAGCAGCTCTAATGTCGTTAACACGGGTAGGAGAACAGAACCATGGAGCTCGTTATGTGTTATGCAATTAGAGAACTGTCTTCAGTGTCCCTTCCTTCCTCCCCCTCCCTCGCTGTGTTCAGCTGATCGAAATAAAAATCCTTCTGTTTCTTTTTCTCATTTACTTCGTTCTGAGCAGTTTCACCTGAGCTGTCCTCCTGCAGAACCCTCAAACATCTGAGACTTACTGCACTTGTTTATCTATTGCACTGCTAGAAGCTCTGACTCGCATGTGAAGTAGAAAGAGAGTTTCCATTTTATTTTACTTTTTTTTTTCTTCATTCAGTAAATATGGGACAAAAGGCATCTTTGGCAGAAGAAGTGGACGAGACGGCTGAGGTGTTGTCGACAACCACCAGTAAGGAGCTCCGTCGATTTCTGACACTATTTTGCACTTCACTATTCAAATATAGGTTTTAGCCTCACACATGTATAGAAATATGATGAAGGCAAATAACATAAAAATGCAATTTCTAATTCACTCCCACATTTCATTTTTCCATATTTAGTTAGGCTGTCTGAAGCCTTTGGATACAGAAGTATAATTACTGTGTTATGGTCTGCGTAAATAAAAGAGTTAAGAGGTTGATTTAATATTGTAAAACTAAAAATGAAGTTCCAGTTGGACGTTTAAGTCAAGCCTAAGTTGATGCCCAATTTTAAATGCATTGAGGATGAATTGTTTTAGCTCTGTAGCGCAGGGAGTGAAAGGAGCCCTCAGCATGATGCTGCCACCATTTTTCTTGATAGTTGGTCTATAATTGTTTGCCTCCATACTGTCAGCTCCACTACGCCTAACATACTTATCCTCAGAAACTATTTTCATTATAAACTGTAGTCATTGGTGAATCTCAGAGAAAGTTGAAGGTGGTTAGTTTAAAGAAACGGCTTTTTTATTGTTATCAACATCAACAATAATCAAGTTTACTATCACATATCAATCTTATTTGCATGTTTTTTTTTTTTACTTTGCTCATATAATTCTGGCCCTATATAGATTAAGGGATTTCTAGAATAAATAAACTTTTGTACCCATATATGTTAAAACAATACTGAAACAAATGAAACATATGGAGGGCAAGAAGATTGTCAAAAAATAAGGACATTCAGAGTTATAAATCACTAATCTGTAATGTCCTGTCAATTTTTTAAGATTTTAACACAAATTGGAAGAAATAAATGACCTCTAATTTGCACTAACTTACTTGTATTTCACTTTATATATAAAATATTCCTCATAAATCAGGTTCTGAAATCTTCCCCCATCAAGTTTAAGATTGGACAACATCAGTGAGTTTATCTACCTCCCCTAAAGTCAGCAGTAGAAAATAAACTTTCATACATTCTGAGGGATTTTCCTCTTTTACATCTCATAACAAAAGCAACGAATACTTCCCCAATGGCTGAGAAATAATAGCTTGTCTCGGTTAGTGTGCTTTAAATGTTATAATAGGAAAAAAAAACACACTTCAAGTCAAAGGCAGCTGGGATAACGGGCCACTCCCTTGCAAATATCGAAATTATAAATAATAAATGTTACATTTCTATCAGCATCACATTTAAATCAGCCTTTTCATATAATAGATCTGCACTATAAATAATATCTTCTGCTTTGCGACTTTAACTAAAATGAATCGGCTGGATTTTTACATTAATCCCCCTGTTTTTCTTTGTTAATAATGTTTTTAATCCTTTGTTCTGGCATCTTTCTCACCTCATATGTCAGAATTTTGAATCTCAGATAT